TGTGTGTGTGGGGGGGGGGGGGGGGGGGGTTTGTTTTTTTTTTTTTTTGGGGGGGTTTTCCCTTTTTCAAGGGGAGTCCGGGACAAAAAACTGTCGCTCATGCTTCTGTTGTGTTGGCCTGCTCTCCCTCAGGTTACCTCGGTTACACTAGTGGTCTGTCTCTGCTCTGCATGGTCTTCTTTCTGATTGTGGTGAGTAAAACCAAACTGTTTCCTCATTCCTCTCTCACACACACACACACACACACGCACACACACTAGAGCATGGATCAGGCCGACTTTTTCTGTCCCGACCCGACCCCGACGGAGTCAATGCCTCAACTGTTCATAATAATGACACATTCACAACAAACAAGCGCTGTTAAACGCTCGAGCACGTTGAAAATAAATTATTAACAATGCAACAACGGAGAAATAGATTACACACGACACAAAACTGTGTACATCTGAAATATGGAATGTTCAATGCCTTATCGCGCTTATGTGTCCGACCCGAGCCCGACTATATTTTCTAAATATTTATCCGAACCCGACCCGAGCCCGCCGGGTTGGGTATCCACCCTCTAGCACACACACACGCACACGCACACGCACACACACACGCACACGCGCAGGCACGCATCTATTTGTCTCATGAGCCAGCCAGATGAGTCTTAGTCACACAGCAATTTCCATTTTTCCATGTTATTCTTTCCACACAGGTGAAGAGTAGACTTGACTTATTGGGGAGATAGGATACTGTAACTTTGCTGCAAACTGTGTTATCTGTTGAAAATATGCGTTGACTTATTGACAGTATTTTATGGGAAACCTTGCCATTGTGAAAAATGAACCTGATAGCTGTTCCAAAGGCTTTCCAACAGAAAGAAACAACAGAAATCCCAATAGACAAATCAGGATATCTCCTGCAAACACTGATTCAACCTTAAATCGATCGCCATGTCCTCCAGGTGATCATCAAGAAGTTCCAGCTTCCGTGCCCGCTCGACGACGACGGCACTGTGAACAAAACCATAAGCAAAGTGCTGAACGCCACCGTGTCCCACCGGAACACCAGCGCCGTGGACTACAGCGAGGACTCTTGCACGCCGAAATACTTTGTCTTCAACTCTCAGGTAAAACCTCTATGAGGTCCCAAACATCTCCAGCAAAGAAATGTGTGCCGAAAGGAAACAATCAAATTGAATATCTGTTCATGTGAACTTGTTTTTCATCCCAGACTGTCTACGCCGTTCCCATCCTGACCTTCGCCTTTGTGTGCCACCCCGCCATCCTGCCCATGTACGAGGAGCTCAAAGAGTGAGTGCGCACTCCTTTCATTTCCTCAAACGCACAACAGCGGCTTCTTTCGTCTGACGTTTGAGTAAAAACTAAACTGAGCTCCCCTTTCCCTCCCCAACAGCCGGTCTCGCCAAAAGATGCAGGGCGTTGCTAATGTGTCCTTCCTGGCCATGTTCATCATGTACCTCCTGGCTGCCCTCTTTGGATATCTGACCTTCAACGGTGAGTTGCTTTGAATGTGATTCTCATGTGTGTAGAAATACTAACGGATAGAATAGTCTTGGCATGTAGCAAATCCTTTAATTAAGGCATAAATAAATGCTAGAACGTTTTAAGAGAAGCTAAACTATGGCATTATAAACATGGTAAACCGCTTCAGGCGCCTATTGAACCTGCTACCTAATGTCAGAGCATCACGCCTTTAAAGTTATAGGACGAATCTCCTCCTCCTGTTACGCAAGTGCGTGACAACTATTGACCGGGAACAGGTGTTCCTGTCCGTGGTGGCAGGAAGATCTGGTTATACCAGAGCTTAGTAATGAGAAGATGCTTCATCACCCGCCCTGACATGGCAAAGAACTGCGGTGGGAGTGGTGCACAGGTGGAGTTTAGGGCAGGTTGAAAAATGGCGGGCACGCTCATCCTAACCGGTTGGTCGGGTTTCACCAGAGATAGGACACGGAAACAAAGACTGTGGAGGAGAAGTCCCGAACCGAACAAATGTCTGACCAAGTACAGAGAACTTAATCTGAGCAGGTTTGGTGTCTTCTGATATTTTTTGCGACAAACAACAAAAAATATGAACTTTAACGCTCTAATGGAGCCTTTTCTTGCCAAACTGTGTCGATTACCATCGGCAGCCATCGCACCACGTGTTTGTGGCTTGGCACAGCTGCTAGCATTTCAAAAAAAATGTTATAACCATTAAGTGTTTGCGTGTGCTTGAGGTCTAAAGAACCCTTTGCTGTCCCTCCACACAGTGCACGTGGAGCCCGAGCTGCTGCACACCTACTCCAAGGTTTACGAGTCCGACGTGCTCCTGCTGATCGTCCGGCTGGCCGTGCTGACCGCCGTCACCCTCACCGTCCCCGTGGTGCTGTTCCCGGTAAGTGGCAAAGAGGTCTCGCCGATCTTGTCTTTCCTCGGGTGGATGTAGGCTGACCTCTGCTCCGTCTCTGTCCGCGTAGATCCGCACCTCGGTCAACCACCTGCTGTGCGCCTCCAGGATTTCAGCTGGATCCGCCACACCATCATCACTGTAGTCCTGTTGGGCTTCACCAACGCCTTGGTCATCTTCGTCCCCACCATCAGGGACATCTTTGGGTTCATCGGTGCGTGTCTGCATTGACGTCTGTGATAATGGCACTAAAAGCTTTTTGAAATAGAAAACGGTGACTAAAAGGACAAATTTCCGTCCCTCTCAGGCGCCTCCGCCGCTGCCATGCTCATCTTCATCCTGCCCTCGGCTTTCTACATCAAACTGGTCAAGAAGGAGTCCATGAAGTCTGTCCAAAAGATCGGGGTAAGGAGCCCGTTCTTACACCTTCGTATTTTTGTCCTCTAGCTTAGCTTAGCATAGCATAGCATAGCATAAAGACCGAAAAGCTTTGGAAACAGCCAGCTCGGTAACCTGTACACCTCTGTGGATGTTTTCTATTTCTCTACTAAGCTAAGATTACCGTATTATATTGAACACAGAATGAATCGTTGCATCCAACACGTTGGCTAAATGTGAAACGGTTTCCTTCACCAGGCCACCGCCTTCCTGCTGTTGGGCTTCTTTGTGATGATCGGCAGCATGACCCTCATCGTCCTGGACTGGATCCACAACGCCTCAGCCAGCCCGGACGCGCACGCCGACGGACCCTAAGGGCGCCGCTATGAGCGCGCGACCAACGGAGATCAAACCCGTCGTTAAAGAAAATCAAAACACAAGAACTCACTTGATGCTCTGCTTTGACTTGCTGAGCGACAAACCATGCCATTCCAAGAGAATGTATCGAACTTTGTACAGTACGCTGTTATAGGCCACAAAGATGGTGTTTCACTTGTTTTACTTCTCTTTTTATTGTAGGTTTTTTTCATTGTTGCTTTCGCTCCTATTTTTGTTTTGTAGTTATGTGACAGCTGAAAACAAATATTTGAAGATGCCTCAAAGCAGAGACGGCGTTCGTAGAGTTCAAAACGCAGCTGACACTCAGGTACGGCGTGTGGGCGTGGCTGTGACCTCGGAGCTCGGCAACAGCCAATCCGGTTGTGAACCTCGCGAGTTCACCTCAAGATTGGCGAGGCAACTTGAAAGTTCATCGTCCTCAAGGGCGATTCAGTTCCTTCCAGTAGTTGTGTGTTTTTACTTTTTTTTTTTTTTTTTTCTCTTTGCCAAAAATGTATTTGTTTAGCATCGTTGTAAATTGAAAAGCACTTACTGTTCAGCACATGTCAATGCGAGGCCCATTACTCTGCCTTTTGAGTATTCGTACCACGGCTCTGTGACCTTGCTTAGTGTCAGCGCTCCATGCAAACCCCGATACGAGTGCACAGAGCCTGCCTTTTCCAACCCGACACTGGGAGCTGTAGAGTTTCTCATTAGAGGACTCTCACTAAACTGTATTTTTTTTTAAAAACTGCTGAGGATCTTGTTGGCTTGTTGGCTTCAGTGACGAAACTACTGCTTCGAGACCTGGAGGCCACTCGACCGCCAGGGAAACTTTATTTTTTTTTGTCTTTACGGGAGACTACCTTGAATTTGACCACATACAGTGGTTGTAACGTACCTGTTAAACTTGCGAGAAAAAAGAAAGAAGAAAAAAGTAATAGGTCGGATCTCCTCTTACACACCGACCAGCAGACAGTCAAACTATTTGGAGTGTTTTTGTGTAGTGTTCTGCTTTTGAAATGTTTCACAAAGGAGAACTTGGTGAGCCGACGCAGACTCGTCACCTGACAGTGCACTGTGCTTCCAACACTAACTCAACACATCACCAAACTGTTATTGTCCAACATCTATTTATGGAAGACCATGAAATCAATGTAATTTAATCTATTTTACTATATTTATAAAATATCGTATGTATATATAAATGTATATATATATATATATATATCTCTTGAGTTTAACTGTACATATGCTTTGTTTGAATTTTTTTTTTTTTGTAATAATGCATTGGAGCTGTAAAACAAACGCTAAATAATCCCCAAGCTGGTGAATTTGTGATATTGAATTGGCTCCAAAGCTCTGGGGCTTCCGCCGTTCATCTCGGATAAGACCGACTGAATTATCCTATTGTGTTGATTCTGTGAAAACTGTTACGTGTAGAAGTCACTAATTCAGCAGAAGCAGTCTTATTCCCGTCGGGGCCCTTGAACAAGAAATGTCAGCAAAATGTTCTTGATGCACATCTTGGTTGGAGAGTACGTCAGCCATCGCTTGACCTCAGGAGCAAAGAGGGCTGTGCCCACCAGTGTTACAGTCTTGTTTCAATGAAACATTATGTACATCATGTGAATAATGTCCAATTAAAATAGAAACTGATAAACTAATAACATTTTGTTCTTTGTACACTCATCTTGGTCTGAGAAGAGTTTGCGAATGTGTGTTATGACAAGGAGCTGCAACAGAGTGTTCTTCAGTTGTTTGGTCAGATTGTTGTCCCAAGAGAGGCAACTAGGGGCCTTAATGTATAACACAACACAAAATGACTCTTACAAAAACCATTAGTATTATTGTTAAAGGAAAAGGATTATTAGTTTATTTTTATCTAACTAATCCTGAATACAGTATAAAACAAACCATTGATCCTGATAGCCGGGGTACACCCAAGATGGGTCACAGGTCAATCGAAGGGCTGACATGGAGACACAGTCGATCGCACACCTACGGGCAATTTAAAGTCACCAATTAACTTAATCCCCAGAGCATGGCTTTGGAGTGTGGGAGGAAGCCGCGGCGCCCGCAGAGAACATGCAGACTCCACGCAGGAAGGAGTCGACCACGGGACCTTCTTGCTGTCAGGCGACAGTGCTTAACATCACACCACCGGGGACTTTTAAGACCTATCAATTTAAATATTAGACATCAGTTAAATATACTAACATTTTTAATGATAAGAAATCCTTTTAACTTCTACACAAGACTTGTCGTAGTGCAGCGTCTGTTTTTTTTGCTTTCATGAAGTTGAATTCCGCCTGAACACTGCCTTTATTCTTGTAAAAATGCTTTGCTCACACTGTATTAACCTTCCATATAGTTAAAATCTGGTAGTTGACTAAAGACACTGTTCAAAATGTTTATGAAAAGATGTCAACCGTGCCCTTTTCTCCTTCGACACAACACTGACGCCTGGTGGCCATCAGGCGACACTACGCAACCGGAGATTAAATATTCATAAAACTCCGACACAAAACAGACTAAATTAGTGTACTTTAACATGACATATGCCCGAAAGCATACATGACAGACATGACAGCTTACATACAGCTTATTACATTCAACGCTGTAGTCTCGTTACTGAACATGGAAACAGTTGACAAACGTCTTATATTGTTAATTTAGGTTTTGTACATCGCAGCTACGATCCGCTAATTTGACTCAATTTTGGACTCACAGCTTTGAGAAAAAGCACAGGCGTTTCTAATTGCATGAATGGCGTTTGAGTGTCCCATAAATCACAGACATGAAGAAGGGGGAAACCCTAAACCAGCAGCTTAATAGGATGCAGAACTGATCAGTAGGATTATTTATATCTGTGCTTTCCCTTCTGTGACAAGCCAAATGGGGTTTGGAGAAAAGCTTTTCATTCAATGTTCGCTGAATAAAGAACTTAACACTTGAAACTCCTTCGGTCAGAAACAAATCCAAATGAATAACATTTTTCTCGCAACTGTAAATAAGCAGCAGTAGGCATCAAGTCTGCCATAACAGCTGGTTTATTTTTTACATGTCTGTATACAACTGTTATTTTATATACTTTTGACAGTGCTGCCACATACTGCCCATCCAATCTGTTGACAGGTTTCACTTTCACAGAATAGGTAAGGTGGATCCCTCGTCTTTAAACAGATAAACAAATCACATTACATGGTTTGATTTGGTGGAGCAGAAACATCACAGGAAAGACTAAATTCAGCCCCTGAGCAGCAGGAAACACTTAAAATCGAGGCGTGCTTCCATCCCTTAGCGAGCCCTCCAACAAACACACAGCAGATCAGGCAGCAGCTCTTTTATTTCACTACTCTCTGGATACTTTGAACAGATCGTGTTCACCCATTAACATGTAATACACATTCAGGCCAAAGGAGGGGTTCAGTTTCCCCCCTCCCCCCACACCGGGTCCATTGCCTAATATTACAAACTCACTTCTGATCGTCTCCTCAGCCAATCAGGAACCGGATTACAATATCACTCATCAGATTCCAGCCCTTTATTGAACCACAGAGATTAATAAAGGCAATGCACTTGTTTTTTTAAAGAGGCCTCATCTGAAATGTTATGTAATATTTAAAAAAAAGAACATTGACAATATTCAATTAATAAGCTATGCGATCAGGATGCATTCATCGTACCAGCCGGCACCCTGGAAAAGGCTCCCCACTACACGAGCTGATGTAGTCCGCTGAGCGTTGCATCTTCAGCATCAACCGCTTCCCTCCTCCGTCATACGCCCCCCCCACCCCCCCGCGCTCTTTACAGTAGTTCCCCAAGAAACATGATCTATGCAAAATAAAGGGCTCTTGCATTACAATTTCTGATTGGGTAATTATTTTTCTAACAAAATATGAAAATCTATAGAAAAAAATCTTCATCATTCAATAAAAGGTAGAGATATCAAAAAAGGAAATGTTGGCTCTCCGTTGTCAGTTTGGAGGCTAAATTCCAGCCAGAGGAAATTGCACTTGAGCAGCTGAATGGGTCCGTGAGGGCGTCGCCACGCGGGGCTTCATTTCTTGCGGGCGTGCTTGTATTTGTCCACATAGGCCTTCACCAGGTTGGCCACCTTACTGGAGTTCACCTCACCACTCTTGCTGTGACACACCTGAGGAAATAAACGGTCGAGGACCAACACGCGGTCAGATTCAGGGGAAGGCCCCTTTCGTCTCAAGTCTTTCCAAAAGACCGAGAACACAATTCAATGCCGCGTTGATCAACGGCTCTTTAAATGAAAGCGGTTTACTACTAGCACATCCACTGTAGAGCGTATCCCTGGTTTTGTGTTAGCTGCGCTTTCCTGCTCTTGATTCATTTACAACGACATTTTAGAACTTGCACTCACATTTAAACGCTGTGTCTTACCTTTTCAACCGCTTTACGGACAATCTCCTTGTACTCCTCCTTTGTGATTTCCTTCTTTTGGTAATATGGTTTGATGGCTGTCTTCACTTCATTGACCGCTCTCTCCTGGATCTGATGTTTCTAAAACAGAGAGTGGAAATCAAGAACGCGGGAAAGGAAACGGGACACTGAGGCACAAAGGAGCGGTCTGGAAAGGCGGTTTGTGGCGCGTCGGCCCGGTGGCAACAGGTCACCTTTTCCTTTTTGGAGCCGTCAGCTTGAGCCTTATGATAGCCGGGCTGAGTTGTAGAGGATGGTAGAACCTGGCTGGCAGCTGACTGGCCGTAGGTCGCAGCGGCAAAACAAGCTTTGCTCGGGGTGGGAAGAAGACCAGGTTTCCCATAACCCACCATTGTGTTCGCCATCTAGGCCAAACCAGAGACGACAGGACATGTACAACTATTTCAAATGTGTTCACTTTTTCCCCTGCCATTATAACAACCCCCTCATTATAACATTCCCCCACGCACGGTATTGCCTCGTTGTGAGCGCGCATATGTTCACGCCGCATGTGGCGTTCGCACCAGCCGACAGACTGCTACTAGGGAACCAAAAACCGCTGCCATATCCCAGATCAGTTCCTAAATAGTATTGAACTACTTATTTTACACAACTCTGATGACTCGCTCCTGGCAGATAGCGATAGCCTCCTGCTTGTATCGCCACAGTAGCTAGTTAGTCATCTACTGGGAGCTTTTGTGCTGCGCAGCAGTTGCGACTCGATGGAAACAGGCGCACACACAAGTTGTAAAGCGAGGGTGTAGCGGCATTCCTTCGGTGTTGGTCATTAAGCCGGATTAAGCTGCAGACACAGGGACTGCAATTCCTCACGTCGCCAATGACAGTTCGTTGGATTCTTTTTGTTTCGTCTTTACATAACGCAGAAAGGCCTAAACAAATATATGCAAACAATAAATTGTGTCACATGGTAGAAAAACAAAATGCTCTCGTGCCTCATGCAGCTCTTCTGTGTTGTACCTGCTGCAGTCATGGCGTCAATAAATCACAAAATTGTCATTTTGCACTGGTATCGTTTATAAGTATCGGTTTAGCACCGGTACCAGAAAAACCCCAAACGATACCCATCCCTAACTACAACAACACCCCCCATCCCCACACCTCCGTGGGCCAAACCGCTTGCTCAACTACTACCCCCCCTGAATGTGTAAACCTGGGGGAAACACCGTTGTTGGTACTTTCAAAAATGTTTTATTTTAAATGCAGATTGATATACAGAGCCTTCAAATCCCATCCACTGTGAGTACCTGTGTCGCGTAGCCATCGGGCTGAGCCGCTGCCATCTGGCCTCCGTGGTGCATGGGTGGGGGTGGCGGGGGAGGGGGCGGGAGCCCCTGAGCGCCGACGGCAGGGACCTGAAGCAGCGGCACGGCGGGGTGGAGGTGCACGGGGACCTGAGGAGGCATAGCGTACGGCGCCGCGGGCTGAAGGCTGACCGGCAGGGCTCCTCGCGGGCCCTGCAGCGGGTACTGGTGCTGGACAACGTTCAGGTGAGGGGGGGCCGCATTCATCACAGGCACCGGAGCGTTGCCCGGTACTGTCTGGGCGGGAGGCTCGCTTTTAGTGGGATCTGGAGAACAAGAAAAACTCATCATCTATGAAGGGAAGGAAGCTAGAAAAGCCATATTACATATTTGACTTTTATACTAAATGCTGTATATTTATCAATGCATAGATATGCAAATGCAATGCAGCACAGAATGCATTTTTATTCTCCTTTCCTCGAGCAGTAGCACCGTGTTCCTGCAGTTCTGATGAATTACTGCACACTGGCTGTTTTCCATTTATCTGGGTCGATACTGATGAGGACATTTTTTCTTTTTACCTGCTGCTGCCGGCTGCTCCTCGTCCTGTCGGCTCCAGCCTCCTGGTCCTCCTCTCTCCCTCTTGGAGTAATAATCCTGAACGTCCGCGGGCAGCGTCCTCCTGACGGCCCAGCTGGACGCCGAGGACCAGCCTGACCGGTCCAGCATATTGTCTCCGGAGTCGGACTCCTTTCTCCGGCCACCACCGCGGTTTTCGTTGAAGCGGCTGTACGCGTCGCTCCCTGAATTGTTCCCTGTACCTGAGAAGTTGGTTCTGGGTTGCCAGCGGCTGTCGGACGTCTCCTCCTGCTGGCTGTAGAAGCCTCGGCTGCCGCCTGCGCCCCCCCGCCCACGTTCCGACCCGCCGCGCCCGCGGGACTCCCCTCTGGTCCCCCCACTCGTGCGGTCCTCCCAGCGCGAGCCACCGCCGGAGCCCAGATCCCGGCTCTTGCTGTCGGCTTCACCGCGACTCTTTTCCGTGACCCAGTCCGGATTCTCCGACCAGCCCTGGCGTTCGGGGGAGCTTTCGCTAGGCGCGCCGTTTTCGAAGCGCCCAACGCCTCCTTGGTGCCTCCGTCCCTCCGCACCGGACCCGCTGCCCTGCCCGGACCTCCAGCCGCCTCTACGTTCTTTCTTCTGGGGAGACTGCTCTCTGGAGGCCGGCCGCTCCGGGCTGGGCCCTCGTCTGTGGGATCTTGTTCGCGATCTTGATCGAGACCGGGACCTGGACTTGGACCTAGAGCGACTCCTGGACCGCCGCCTCCTCCTTTCACGACTGCGTTCCCTCCTGGAATAGTCCCTGGCGCCGTCCCGGTCGCGGTCCTTCTCTCTGCTGCGCGCTCGGGAGGAGCGGCTGGAAGGTGGGCTGCCGTCTCGCTCTCTGGACCGCGAGCGCCTGGACGCCTCTCGCTTGGACTCCTGCTTAGGTGACCAGGTAGAGGTCGGGGAGTGGAAGCGAGAGCGCCTTGGCTTGCCGTTCTTCCTCTCTTGGCTCCTTTCCCGCTCCTGTTGCTCCCTGTCGCCGTCGTCCTTAGAACCAGCGGTTTCCCCGGACACTGTGAGCCCCCTGGACTTGGGTTCAGAAACGGGACTGTTGGCCTGCTCGCTCATGGGCGACCCGCAGTCCATCGGGACAACTTTAGTATCATCCTTAGCTGGATTGGCATCCTTGGTTCCTTTTGCAGTGCTGTCAGCTACTGAGCTGAGTTCTGATGCAACGCCTTACATCAGCATCTCGAGGCTTTGGTTCGAGACGGCTGAAAGATCTTCCGACTCTCCTGCAGAGACGACGCCGGCTGTGGAGAAGCCTCACGTGATTCAGCAGTCACTGCATTTGAAGATGCTTTGGTGTTGGCTTCTTCTGCACAAATCTTCATGTCATCCTCCTCCTCCTCGTCCTCCTGCTGCTGCTGCTCTGCCTGGTCATCACAGTGTGGAGACATCAAGGTGTCCAGCAGGGCATTGTCAGAGTGAGAGGGTGATGGTGACATCCTCTTCTCAGAGTCCTTTCCTCCAGAGGAAACGGGGCTTCCTGGCTCCTCTGGCTCCTCTGGCTCCTCTGGCTCCTCTGGCTGATCCTCCTCCTCCTTGCTCTGGTTGCCCATGGAGCATGAACCAGGGCTGTAAGGAGCAGAGTCCGAGTCGTTTCCCTCCTCCGGTTTCAGTTCACGTTTATTAGATTGCTCTGGAGCATCATCGCTGTCCTCTCCCACATCGTTGCTCAAAGGTTCAGCGTCACTGAGGTTATCGGCGGAGTTGGAGCCGCCTTGTTCATCACTGAGGACCACTTCAGCATCAGACGCCTGCTGCTTTGAGTTAAAATCCTGTTCCTGATCACTTTTGTCATCTTCCTCCCCTTCGCCCTTCTCCTCCTCCTCTATGTTGTCGCATCCATCACCCTCTTCTTCACTTGCCTCCGGGCTGCAAACAACTTGGGGAGATTTCTTTTTTCTTGCCGGGGATTTCCGCTTACCGCCGGCCTTTCGGTTCGTCACCCGTTTGCCCTTCCTCTTGGCTGGCGCTTGAGAGGCCCGGCCCGGCCCAGAGGACAAGTCGGAGTCTGACGGACTGGACTGAGGCGGCGATGAGGGATCTGAGGCGGGAGCCTCCTCCTGACTTTTACTGTTGCGCCCAGATCGCCTCGACGGTGGAGGCTTAGCCTCTTTGGTCGGGGCTTTGGAGGTTGAAGCTCGACCGCCTCGCTTTTCCCCTCCTTTGGGACACGTGATGGCGCAGACAACACCTTGAAACACTGAGGGAGAGAAACCGTACGAGCACTTACACATACGTTCAGATGACATACCGTATATATTAAGAACCTGGATTGCTTCATTTTCTATGTTTTCTAAATTGTTGCTACACAAAAATATATATATTACCCATTACATACATCCAAATGTAGCGAATAATAAAGCTTGAAAGATTTTATATAAGTTAATGAAATAGTCAAACTCTGTTTGAATCTCTTCCTCACTCGTAAGTACCGACCCCACGTGACCTACAACAAACCCTCACCGAAATGAGCGGGGCCGAGCGGTGAACTGGGGGTGAAGGGAGACGGAAGCCGGCTGTGGTTCCAACCAGCGGGATGGAAGTTCTGCCTGGAAAAGGCCGACAGAAAACAACTTGGCTCACACACACCAAGCCGTGTTATATTTCTGCCAAGGATGGAGGGGGAAACACACAGCACGAGGAGACTCACACACCCTGCTGCTGTGGAAAGGGGCGCTGGGAACCAGTTTTAATTGGCGCAACATGTTGATGGTTACAAACAGCGAGCACATGGTTTTCAAAATTACAAATATTACTCCCACAGCACAGCGCTCTAGTCTTCGTCGCCCGTTTGATTTGCTTTCCTGGTCAACAGGTTGGGCTGATCGACACCAACCTGGGGTCTATTTGAAGCCTCATCAAGGGTGGCGTTACTGATATTATTTTATTTCCCTCCCCCCTTTTAGTTTTGCCTAAAAAAGACGGATGACACACTTTCCCTTTGTTCTTTATCGCTGCGCTAATGAAATGCAAAACGAGCCCATTAACAATCCTGAAAAAATATCAAACCTCTTAAACTAGACGAGGGGACACTTTTCTATGCAACAACAGCAACAGAAGGGGGAAAACAGCCTGATAGAAGTGTTGGGCTGGGATTGCCCTACCTGGAGGTGGCGCTGACAGCGATGGAAGCAGCAGGAGAAAGCCACGGGCAGTCCTGCGTTCGGGGTTTGCAGCGTTGGAACCGGGTGTCGTATGGTATGTCCTCTGCAACCCACACAGGCTCCGCACTGCAGGGGAAGGACAAGGAGAACAAGAGTTATTTATCAAGTAGTTGGATTTACTTGAAGCTGGACTGTATGAGGTCATCATCATTGTTGTTGTTGTTGTTGTTAAACCTACAGTAAACGGTTTGGAGAAACAAACGGCCCCTCTCAACTAGAGCAGTGACATCCACGTGTGCTCTCTTTAGAGCCGCCGACCAAAAGCTTTTGATTTGACCCAAAGGAACACAGGAGTTGCAGGTTGATTCTTGTTTAAATCCCTCAAGTCACACAATGACATGAATAGTGACCGAGGCAAGAAACAGGGACGTCGGTGCTGCGATGTAAACTTAATTTATTTTCATAATGGACCGGCTGCTTTGGAGAGGCGAGGTAACCGATTCAGTTCCACATTAGAAAGGGCTGTCGGGCAGAAAATGAAAGTGGGGACAATACTAATAGAAGAATTTAGTGTCCACTCAAACTACTATTCATTTGTGTCGATGTTTGTTTCTCTGTTGCCGCTGTCGGGACATTGCTTCACCGATGCTGGTTCTCCTGTCTGTTCCTCATACGAACCCACTTCAGAGGTTCAAAACGTATCAACATTAGGCTCATCTCAGGTTATAGTCCACACAAACCCTACATCCCTTCTCAACTGATGATGCTGCTTTACTCGGGTTGCTTCAATTATGGCAACACAAAAAATACAATAAAACAATGGCTATGAAATGTAACTTGAAGTAATTCCACTTTTACTCCAGCAGGGGGCATCCTTAAACTGGACCGTCCACCCCGATCCCTGTTAACTAAGCTACTGTAATTCTCTTTGCTCCGGAGGAAACTACTAAGACAGATCATCAATCTCAGATGTGTTTCATGCTGTTTTAAGCAGCGCATTACAGAACTCACGAAGGTTCACGGGTCCATAATAATCCGTCAAAGGGAAACCATCACTTACATGTCCTGAGTAGATGATGTCATTAATGAGACACAGGGAGACGGTGACCAAGTGCAGCATTCTGTTCCTCTCACCTGGAGAAAAACACTAGTGAGACTAAACACTGAAGAACTTCACTCACAATACATCTATGATGAAAAGGGAACTAAAAAAACACCTTTTTTCTCCTCAGGGTGGAGGGGTCGTCCTCGTTACCTGGAGAAAGAAAAGACATTTACAGATTGTTGAGCCTCATTCACAAATAGCAAGGAGGTCACGTGATTTCTGGAGGGAGATGGGGGTCAACATACATTTCCTCACGAGGCCTTTTGTTTGGGCGTCTGCCGTCCTCTCCACCTTTTGCCGTCTTTGTCTTCTGGCAGGTTTACTTCTGAAGCAAAAACAACAACAATCTAAATTGTTCATATTGATTTAATAATCAACCAACTGCAGCAACTAATCCTTTAGACCTAAATAACAGTTGATTCAGTAAATCTCGTAATGTCATTTCTCTAACGAACAAAAAGGTTCATACTCACTTGAGACAGACTTTTTGTTTGGGGTTTCTACAGCAGCAACTGTCAGTTTCAGTCGGAGTCGCTTGTTTCCTCACAGGAACCTTGAATGACAGAAGACACTTTATTCACACAGGAGGTCAGTCACGAACTTCTGGGTTCTGAAAGCCAACGCGCCTTTATTCACTTAACAACAAACACCCAAATTTGAGAGAATGACCGGCATCTCCGACCAATTAACCAGCGGGTGCAGGACCGGTGTGGGTTGTGCATGTCGAGACTCGGAATGGGTATCGTTTTTGTTTATTTTACAATACCTCCGCTAAACTGATACTTTTAAAACGATACCGGTGCTAAACAATCGTTTCATTTTAGATTCATGCTCATTGTGCAGGAACTAAAAGTATGTAACATGTATTAAAAAGCGGTAAGCTAAATAGTTATCTGCTGCGAGGGCGGTGTCATCCAGAGTAGTGTTAATAAAGTTTTTCAATCGGCTCAGACCCCGAAAGGAAGCACCATAATCGGCGTTGCTTTTACGGCGTGGTAGATACCGGTCATATAGGAACCGGTACCAATACGCCACCGGTACTCGGTACCCAACCCTAGTTGAGACTGAAGGAGTGGGCTGGGTAACACCCTCTTATGTACAGTCCATTCATCTGCAGCAGGCAATGCTGCTTCAGCTCGGGCTCACATAGCAACAGTAGCTCCCAACACCAAAACAGAAAGGCCCAGTGTGCAGCTAACAGGTGAACCTGCTGCCCGTACTTTCTGAGAACCACGAGTGTATTGCTTAACATAGCTAACAGCAAAATTTGTTTCCCCCTCTACAGCGCAGGTAATATCAGACCAACTTAAGATCAAAGTGTCTTTGTTTATGACGTCGGACTATGAAAATAAACAGCAGCGCAGTCTTCTGAATGACAAAGCCTTGTTATCCTCTGACCTGCACACAGCTGAGATTCCCGTCCCATCTGTAAACATTAGTGAAGGGTCTTCTGTCCACCGGGCAGGAAGGAGCCATCTGCAAAGTGAATCAAAAACATCTTAGAATATATTTGTTTAAATTCAACCATTTTGCTGGTTGCAATTTACAGGCATTTCCATTCTGAAAGAAATTATATTCTGCAATTGTTTCACATGAAAGAGTTCAAATTGATTCATGTTTTTTGGTGTGAGGCCAATATCGGTAATAGGCTAAAAAAAGGTCTACATAACATTGAACATACCAGTTTGGTTGTTCAGTCTGTAGAAATTCTGTATTTTAAAACATGTAAGGCACCCAGTTGGAGTCCTAACAAACAGTTTATTTTACACCCACCTAGATCACGTTCTAGAATTAAAACGGGTTTAGCAATTCTCTACGGCTTATGTCGCTATTTTAAAAAGTACTGAGCTTTACCTCGGCCCACGTGAGGAGGCATCGGAGGCAGAAGACGTGGCAGCAGCTGTCCGGCATGGCTAGCTCGCCTCCCGCCAGGATGCCAAGGCAGATAGGACACCTCTCAGCCTCCTCAGCATCTGCACGCACACGCACACACACACACACACACACACACACACACACACACAGATTTAAATGATTCATAACTTGCATCTTATGTTTTCTACTCAGCGTGAACAGAAAAAAGAAGCTTGAGGATTAAGCTTTTTCAATGTGAGGACGTGTGATTATACTTTGACAATCGGGTCATGTAATTCATGCATACATCGCACAGCACATCATCGCAAACATCATTGTGCCGAGTCAAGTCTCACCACTTCCAGCTCCCGTCATGTCCGCCCAGGCTGTCCTGATCACCACTGCAACATAGAGAGAACAGGTGGGCAAATTACACACATGTTATGCTCTCTGTATGCCCGCAAGGAAATGATTTATAATCATTCTAACAGCTGCATTAAAAAAAAGTAAAAATACAGCACATGATCCATTCATATAAGTGATTCAAAAGTGTTAGATCGGTTGGCAATGTTCAGACGAGGTGAAGAAGTGATGCAAACGCTTTCGTGATGAAGTTACAAATCAAATATACTACGCGGAAAACAAGGGGCAGAAAGATGGTGGAGCAGGGCTGGAGGAAGCAGTAGACAGTGGAAGGATGGTGTGGATTGTTCCTTTAACACATTATTCTTGGAAGAGGGTGATAAAACAGCTGATTTTGAACCGAGCTGACAAGAGGTATCCAACCTGTTTTCACTGTATTTAGCGCTTGATTAATTGGCCAATACATATCACCTTTTTTTTCTGGTCAAAACTATCATTATAATAGAACTTTAAGAGCGTTAAATTGTTTTCGACCTGATAATGTGACACCCTCACTCGTAGATAACCGTGGCTACTGAGAAGGTTTGTGATCCGTGTGCTTGTTCAAATTACAATTTCCAGTTGTGTTCCGCAACCAGAATTCCCTCTGGTCGATATAACCGCGATCCGGCAGACTACTGGACTTCTCCTAAGAGCCTTTACAACGAGCAGGAGCTCTGAACACACGCTTTTAAAAAAAGGAGTGTGACATCTGATCCGGAACACGTCGTGGATTTCCTTTGGCCACCTCGATCTGAGCACTTATCCAAAGTGAAACCGTTTCAACAGACATAATGTTACACCAGAGCCTCGGTAAACGTTTCATTTACAAAACCCAAGAAATAAACCAACGTTACGTCAACAAGCAATTACCCACCAGCCTTTTACTCAAACCGTTATTTCCACTTATTGATCAAACACCGTCTGATAACTTATGCTAACTCTTTCAGCCAAGAGTTAGCCGGCCGTCAAATTTCCAATTACGCCGATTTGCATTGGATTTGGCGTAATATATAATCATGGAGTGAATAGACAGTCGCGAAAGCGTGTAACTGTTTTGTGCCTGCAGGGCCTGGCTCCCACGGACACTAAATTAGCACGAAGTTGATCAACCAGTGCCAACACGACGATGACAACATGATTGTTGATGGTTAGCCAGAAGGCTAGTGCTAGCTAAAAACACAGCCACCCAACGGCTAGTTGGTTGTTGCTAGCACGAAAGCAAACATGGCTAAATAGTTTGTAATATAAGCCACTATAATCACACTGAAGGTCATAAGTTGGCTAGCTAGTTAGCAGCAAGCGAATGTAGCCGAAGGCTATCTAACGTTAGCCGCTTTGAACAACAGCACCTGCTTACGTCGCTTACCGCTTGCTAGCAGCTGGCGTTAGCATCAGTTAGCGCTAGTTAGCTAGGGGCCAGTGTCGTTACTCACCTTTAAGTGCTGCTGCTGCAGCTGCTTTTCACCAAGTAAACTGTTTTTAGCGTCCAAGCTAGTGCTGTGAAATGCTGGCGACTCGCACTATCCGGGGAATACGGGTGGACGGGACGAAGCGTCGCTTTCAGAAAGTCTCAGCCACATGTCTCGCGTTCTGATTGCGGTTCGGTACAGCTGGCGCCCCCTACCGGAACCCCCGATCGGTGCAGAGCAGATGTTTGCTCCTGGAAAAGTTTGCGGTGCTTAAGAAATGCAGCAACAGGTGACTGAGTATTCAAGACGTGTTTAAAGTTTATCTTTGTTTATGTCGTGTGGACATGTTGACTTGCTTTGTTTGCTGTTCCCTAAATCCCCGGATCGAGTGAGCAAATAAGTTGCTGATGAGGTCAATCATCACCATGAATGGTGAGTGATGGTAAGAATGGTTTTAGGATGAATAGATAAATTAGAATTAGTGGCATTTTCTTTCACAGAAAACATTCCAGCTTGAGGGGAAAAGCAAGTTTAGATATTGAAATGAATCATGGCTGGATTCCATTTAGCCGTTTCGATTTCAGTATCCTGCACTTGTGCAAGAGACATGAGAAGAAGAAACACTGAATTCACGTCATTCTACACACTAGATTGTAATAGAGTGTATTTCACTGAATTTGCAATGTTAACAAATAAACAACCATCAAACCATTGATGAACTTAAGATGCCTGGTTCTGATTCTCGTGTTTTGGGGGCTGATGTTTGTTACTTTTTCATCAATCAACTAAGTTGGCGTCTACATTTCTTTTAGCAAACGTAAGCCAACAACTCACGTTTGGAGACACTGTTACCCCCCGAGATACTACATCAAGGCAACTGTGAAGCTATACACAGCAACATATTTAACAAATGCCACAGGCTTCTTTTGAGTTTTTTTTAAATTTTGAACGGTTTGATGAGTTTTCATTAGTTTAATGCACACTCACTGTGACCATCAGCAGGAGTCTGCCATGTATCTGAATCAAGGCAGGAGTGAAACACGGTGGAAACACCGGTCGGGAGAAGTTACACGAGGCCATAGGTTACCGTTTTTAATTTACCTTAAAAAAGGTTAATTAAAAGAATTGAGGCTATTCCTTAAAAGGCTTTGTGTGTCCCTGTGTGAGATATTTGATAGTTGAAATGTAGAAAGGAAATTCTAAAGTTAATGATGGTTTTAGTTCCACGTCACCGGTTATTGTGCATCCCGGCTCACTGTCACACTGCCGTACCTTATAGATCACTAAATCCATGGTTGTTGGAGGCAGCAGTGAAAAAAACCCATCAGAGATCACGCAATATTCCCATCACCTTTTCACTGAATGCACAAACAGCAATGGCCGCTGATGAATGATGAATTTCCTACAGGTTCTTTGGTAATGTAAGACGTACAGTATGTTTAGGGAGCTGTGGTAACTGGAGCGCTGAGTAAAATCATTAATAATTCAATTATGCCGAGAGGAAGGAGCCAAAGCAAAGCGTCCAGTGGTGGAGCTGATTGAAGGGAGACGCGTGCCAGCAAATGGAGCTTGTTCGGTTCAATAATAAAAGGCCCAACTAGCAACCACGGACAATGAGTGCTGGAGGTCCTGTGCCTTTTTCGACAGAAAGCCCCATCAGATGAACTTCAGTCAGGCTGTTGATTTTCTGAACACGGACATTTTTTATCGTATTTTCAATGTCTGTTCATGTTCACCACCTTGAGAAACGATGGCTGGATGTTTCATCAATCCATTTCAGCAGTTCATGCTTTCAGATAATTATTTAGTTTATCCAGTTACTTCTAGCCAGCTTCTACAGCCGTCCATTATTCAGTTACTTATTTTTCCTAAAAGCTTAAAGTAAACACAATGTACATACAGAATTTTAGCTAAATGTTCAACTCTGTTACTTTCATCAGTTTAAACATTTATTTTAAATATTTTTGCTATTTATCCTTTCCGGTAACAATAGGAACCCTTTATCCACTACTTGTAGCTAAAACTACTTCACCTGTGTACTCATTACTTTTCAACAACTATCATTTGTTACCAGTTGGTCAGACGTCAGGCTCTCGTGCACTACCAGTATCCAAAGCTACTTTAACTACTTCACCATTGCCATTTACCCCCTGCGCCATTACCTTTCTACCGCACAACGTCCCCCTCTGTTTTTACCTCATTGAGTTTCTCCACATGTCAGCAATCGATTTCGACTCCTGAATGATGGACAGGAAAGCGGGAGGAATTGTTGGGGGAGGCGTGCGGATAAAGAAACAAGCGTAAAAACCAAAGCAAAATGTTCAGTGTTTTATTTAAAAACTATAAACAGTCACCAAAGTAAATAAAGCCAATCTCTAACAGACTGTTGGGTCTATGTATAGTCACACATCCTACTGACGCTGCAGAAATGAGGATGGTTGGGTCGCCCCGGTCAGATGCGAATACGACAGGCAGTCATAAATGTTACACAACACACGGTAGAGAGGACAGTCTGAGGACGTGAGCCGGAATGTGGCATGGTATTAAGAATGAAAAAATAGTACAATAAAACTCCACACTATATTAAGATAGAAAAAAGTAGTGAAGAAAATATCATACCTGCACGTAAAGCAAATAACACAGGAGAAAACCTGTATAAAAACTCCATGTATTTAAACCAATTTACAAATACAAAAAAATTTTGGTGCGCGCACTGTGGCCCGTACAATGACAAAACGGTTACAGTGGATATATGTTACTTGTGTGTGTGCGTGTTGAGGGGAAGGCGCGTGAGGGAAGGGAAGAGAATACCTTCAATATTTTTTTCTTCTACAAAATGACAGGATATATTATTCCATACTCTTTCAGCCAGCAAAACGAGTTCTACAAGGTATTATAATACAAAAAATGTCACAGTTCCACAAAAAACTGTTTTTACCCCCTCCTAAGCTTTACAGCATCAGTACCTTTGCAGAATTATTTACAGGTTTAAGTACATTCATCCACTGCTGAGTATAGAATCACATTAGATACAAGTGACCAGGGATCATAAAAAAAGCAACAAACGAAAACATACTACTTTATTCAATTCTACCAAAGTAATGCTTCTATTACTCCACAGAGCAAGTTCTCCAGTGGCTGCATCGGCATGAAAGAGGATCTTCTTTATATATATTCACAACATATTTACAGGATTCTTTTTCATTAATTGTAATGGTATTCATTTCAATAATAAATAAGTGAAAATATATAGACTCAAGTAAGAAAACCGAGCTACCAAGTTTTCTAAGGGAAAAAAAGAAAGAAAGAAGAAATCATCTGTGCCAGTTGCCGGCTGAGTCCTCCTCCGCCCATCTCTGTGGGACACCAACCAACCGACCCCCACCCATCCGTACCCTTCAGTCGACCGCCACTCACTCCAACGCACACATCAGTTTACAGGAACAAGAACAAATTAACTTAAAACAAGATGTGCTCATGTTTGGGGTTTTGTTGGTGGAGTCCCACGGGGAAGCAGTTTGAAAGTGGCAACCCCCCCCCCCTCCCCGGTGGACAGCTGGTGGAAGACCCCCGTGGCAGTTTCTTTGTGAGTGTGGGTGGGTTTTGGGGCCGGCGGGTGGGGTTAGAACACAGGTTGGCGAGGAAGGAGGTGAGGGATGAGAGGCGTGGCAGAAGGAGGGTCTTGGTTCCAGTCCCCCCCCCCCACTTCCCGCCCTGCAGACCCGCTACGGCTCACCAACGGTGGCATCCTCCTCTCGTCTCGGTGGACGAGTGGTGACACGGGTGTCTTTTCTTTTAAGCGCTTAAGCCTGGAGCGAGCGCGTCAGTTCGTAAAGGCATTTTGCGAGCGTGGTGGAGACCTCCATGTTACTCAGCGCCAGCACGGAGAGGTGCGTCTCATGCCTCTTTACCAACCTGAGGGGGGACAAACAGGGTCAGACTCCATCAAGCAGTACAATCTTTTCAAAAACAGTGCTATAGCCAACGATATAGTGCAATCAGGATGAATCTCTTATGGCACAATACCTGGACACCTTTCTGGTCAAGGCAAGGGAACAAAACACACAGGTCTCACTGCTCAAAGCCAGAAGGACACTTACATGCGACCACAGTCAGAGTGCTTGGCGATGTTCTTCAACGTTAAGGCAGCAGTTAGTCGTATGTGTTTGGTCACTGGTCCCTCTTTGTCATCCTGGGAGAGGAAAACACTCATGAGTTCCACTGTGAGACACGAGTGAGAAGGAGACCGTTCAAGACGGCCCTTATTTGGACACTCGTGTGGACGGGGTGAGGAATAAAAGTGTCCAAATAATTGTATACATCACATGCAAACAAATATTTTTACGGTAGAAAGATGCAATGTAATGATGTAATTCCAACCAAACAGACCTGTGAAGCCTGCGTTTCAACCATGAAGCGGAGGAAACAATGGGATTTTAAAAAAAAGTTCCCAGGAGCTTATGTCCAATGAAGAGCTTTTGCACGAGTCACACGTGCACTGAGAGTTTCAAGTACGATCAGGGAAAAAGAGGGCGGCCTTCTACTCACAGTGAAGTCCCTGAAGACCAGGTTCCTAGAGCCTCTGCGGAGCGCCATGAGGGCCGCGCTCGGGTGGTTCACGATTGCTTTTGGTGCTCGCGGTGTCGGAGTGCTGCCTGCCGTCGGCGGAGTCCTTAGTAACACATCAGGTGCACGTTAGGGTCACTTTTTCAAACACCACCATTCCCACATATTGATACACAGCATTTCTGGTTTGGCTGGTTCTCAGGCACCAACCAGGCTGAAAGAAGAAATGTGGACTCACTGGGAAGAAGTCTGATTGGGACTTTGCGCCTGCTGCTCCTCTAGCTTGAGTCCAGCCAGCAAAGCCTCTCGAGAACAGTGCTTGTCCTGGGAAAGAACCAGCACAAGCTATGAATCTTGAGCCCATATTTAAGTGGTTATCATTTGATGTCGACGTGGAAACAAATACACTGAGCGGAAACAGACACTTGGCAACGGCGGAGGAGGAGGAGGAGGGAATCTTACCTGCAGATGCGTGATGAAGGACAGTCTCTGCCGGGGAAAAGGTTCACACCCCTCCCATTGGCAATGGCCGCCGTACAAGCCTTTCCCACCGTGTTGCGTCGCCGCGTGGTAAAAGACCCGCGACGGCGTTTCGAACCACCTGGGAAAGAAAAGGAGACGCGGTCAGTGGGTGGACGGGTGGAGGGACAGCCGGCCCGGCCGAGGACCAACAGAAGCGCCGCGTACCGTTTACAGGACTGCCACAAACACTTGAAGTTCTGCCCCGCCTTCCTGCTCTGCTCCGGCGGCGCTGCGGGGCCCTGCTGTGCTGAGAGGTGCGGGCTGTGGTTACCGGGGGGCGGGGTTACTGTAGGCTGAGGAGGAACAAATGTATAAAATGAATTGGCATAAAATAAACAGTCGCCCCACAAGTGAAAACCTAAATGCAATCATAAGAAAAGAAAGAATAGAATTGTAACGAGACGTGTTGGCTGAGATGTAACCGGGGCCCGTCTGGTGGCACAAGTTGTTCTCTCAGCTGCTTTGCTGTAGGAGGTGGGTATCGGTGAGAGCCACATGGTCTTAACTGGCCTCGCCTTCTTAACCTCCACACAGTACGTCACGGGGACATTGTTGCAGACAAGTTGTTGATTTTAAAATGTACTTTTACAGTCAAAGTTAAAGCCCCACGCAAATCACATCAAAAATACCTTCCTTTTTTACTCTTAATTTGCTTTGCGGGTCCATTAAACAGTTTGAGTGGCTACTCCACCCTGCTGCAGGACGGCCCCGGTGTAACACCACCAATTACTGCATTATGGTTAGTCAAGTAACAGAAGTGAGCAAACTGTAGCGTAACAAAATATATTGTCATGTTAAATAAAAGCAGTCAAAGTCCTAATCCACCCATAATCAAATCAGACTTTTTCCTTCCATCTCCTTTACAGAGTGCCATTTAATACCAAGCAAATCCCATTTCTTAACTCCAACACATGTAGATACGGTCTGATTAGAGACAGGCTATAAAATACTACACGTCTAGAGCATAATGTGCCACTTCAAATTCAGTCACATAACCGTGTAAAGCAGGAACCATGTTAAAAGCGTTCCTGACTTTAAAGGAGAGCGGCTTTTAAGTGCAAACTTTTATCCATGACACTCATTTCAATGTGTTTGGAGGCATCTCGCGGATGTGAAATGAATAACGTCATGGGTTGGGCCACTACGCAAAAACCCCAAAACAGGCCGTCTGCCGGTGTAACATCATTCTGATCTGCGGCCAAAACAAAAGGCTGGTTTTCAGGTCATAGTAACGTGAACATTTTCACAATGTGGCCTACATATTTATACTAAGATGAATTGTTGTCCAGCAATATGACCGCGACCACAACCACAGTGTACAAAATGTGGGAAAGGTTGTGGGTTGTTTTAACATTAACAGTCCAAAAAGGTTTGATTACAGCGCCCTGCGCTAAAAGTATGCTAGTGTGTGTGCAGAAATGTACATTTATGGAAGTCGTCTGCTAAACAGTCATCATTTAAAGTGCAGAATTAGCACCATTTACCAGCCAGATGAAACTATGCTCATCTGTCACAGACGTGCTGCAGTCACAGTACCAGAAGATCAACGCTACGAACCCTGCGGTGACTCACCGTGGAGCCGGGTGCCATCGTGGGCAAGCAGTTCCTCTGCTGAGTGGCGTTCTCGATTGCTACTTTGGCTACTGTGCTTGGGTCCGTTCCCGCCGGCACCGCCACCATGGTGGCGCTGCTGCCGGCGTTGTTGGGGTCGCTGATGGTGATGATCCGCACTCCCACTTTGTTGGGGATGCCCGAGGGCGCCGCCCCGCCGCGCTCCTCGCTTTCTGCCGGCCTCTTGAGACCCCGAGCCTCGCAGGCCACGCCGTTTGCGGGAGCGCCGGCGGAATTAACTGTAACAGTGGAGGGCAGGGTGGAGTTGGGGAGCGGTTGCTGTCTTAGCGCAGGCACGCCGTGGCCCGGCACCAAAGGTCCGTTGGTTAATTCCGAAGGAGGCCTGTTGCCCGCCGCCTGGGGCCCGTTCACCAGGCGCTCGGCTTGCTGCGCTTTGGAAGTGTCCGGCTGAGGGAGAGGAGGACTGGGAAGAGGGAGGTCCGACCCGCGACTCTTCTCAGAAGGGCCCACGTCCCCGTTCCCCAAGTACTGTTTGGAAGCAATGTGATTGGGAATGTTTTTGTTTAAATTGCCGCCACTGTCGCTGCGATCAAAGTCACACACCCCGTTGACCAGAGTCTTTTTGGGGTCCGGGTTGCCCTCCAGAGGAGTGTTCGGGATGGAGGAAAGGGCCTGCTTCCCATTAGCAGGGTGGCCCTCGGTAGCCGGGCCATTGAGGCCCCCCTGGCTCTTCCCTGAGTTGTATGGAGGTAGATTAGACTCCATGCACTTGCCACCGTTCAGCAGCTTGGCCCCCGCGGCAACATCTCCATTACTGGGTTTGCCGTTCGAGTCTCCTTCCGCCAAAGACGAGTTCTCCATCACCTCGATCTTCCTCTCGTGGATGTGCAGCCCCGTGGCGTCCTTGGCCTCCTCCTCCTTTTGACAGATGATCTTGTCTCCTCGGAGGGGAGCTGGCAGTGGTGGCGGTGTCGGGGACGCAGGCGCGTCATGGGGCACTGATGCAGCCAAGAACGGAGGAGGGGGGACCCCCGGAGCCACAGCACCCGTGCTGACCGCAGCGGTCGAGGTGGTGAAGCCAGTGGTGGGGACTACGGTGAATGTGACTCCAGCTGACGTGGGGCCCTGGATGATTGTAGCTGCCCCCGGGCTACCTGTGGAAATGAGCTGCCCTGGCAGGAGCTGCACCGTCTGCAGGGTGGGGGCTCCAGCAGCGGGAAGCTGACCAGGAACCAGTTGGACATTGAGCTGCTGAGGCTGAGGAGATGGATTCTGGGTGCTGTAGCTCGTCTGGTAGATGACCTGTGGGCTAGACGCCATCGTGCTGTTTGGAGGGGGCACCTGTGGGGCGGGTAGGATGAGTTTTCCTCCCGGAGTAGAAGGCCCTCGCTTTGGAAGCAGTAGCTGTTTGATCAAGCTGGACTCGGTGGAGGTAGGCTGAGAGGGGGGAGTTTGCGACATAAGCTGGAGCTGCTGTTGGTGCCGTTTCATAGACAGTGCGTGGCTGACGGTTTGATTGGCCTGGACCTGGGTGTTAGAATGAGAAGCGGGGGGCGGGCAGGGGCTGGAAGCAGCTCCGGGATGCCCCGCAATCTGGATAGTCTGGGGGCCGGGGATGGCTGAGGGGTTGGCGAGAACTATCTGGTGCATGGCAGGGGCGTAGGCCGGGTTCTGCTGGGGGTTGGGGCCGACTATTACGAGACTCTGCGACTGCTGTGGTGGCTGAGGCAGCTGGTTGGGTGGGGCTATCGTGGCTGCTGGTGCACCCAGGTGGCTTGGCGCGGGCTTGGGCGCAATATTCTGAAATGCGCCGCGCGAGCCCTGGGAGTTGGTCACGCCCGCGATGCTAAACGTGTGACCAGCCCCCACGTGGATGGAAGAGGAGGGTGTCGATGCAGCACATGGCGGCTCCGCCTGGAGAGCTCCACCTTGAGGGCCGGCCAGGTGCTGGGTGATGGGAGGGCACACGCCGTGTACGCGGGCGGTGAGGATGTGGCCCTGTGGTACCTGCTGGAATAGCGTGACGGGCGGCCCAGTGGGGAGCATGGGGGAGTGCTGCTGAGCGGCCGGGTTCTGGGCGGCCGGAGCCGACGCGGCGATCTGGACCACCGGACCGGGTCGGCCCGGCTGCTGCTGCAGTGCTGCCAGAGGATTTGGTGGCAGCTGCAGAGATGCCTGCATGGCCACTGGGTGACGGGAAACAGTCGGGTGGCTCACATGAGGGGGCTCCTGTGCAGTCGAGGCCGAGGGGGGGGCGGCACCAGTGGCGCTGAGGCCGTGGCCCATCACCCGGACAAACTGGGGTCCAAGACTTGGAGGCCCGAGAGGTAAGCCTGGTCACACATAACACACAATCAGACAACGGATCAGAAACAAGATGCTACGGTTTCCCGGTCTACAACGACTATTTGTACGCATGTAATGTTTTTTTTACAGGATTTTAAGTTTAATGTTTTTTTTACAGGATTTTAAGTTTAATGTTTTTTTTACAGGATTTTAAGTTTAATGTTTTTTTTACAGGATTTTAAGTGGAGCAACTTATATATATATATATATATATATTTATTTTTTGAGACACAAAAGTCTGCCAAACGTCTTCTGTGCACGGACATGGATTAGAAGCCGTCCTCTCAATGTCCCTGCGTAAGCTCCTTCATTTAGGCTATTGTCCTAAAGTAATTTCCTCAACATGTTTGCCTAGTTAGCATAACTAGTTAGCTGTATTCCTTTGTTGCCTAGGCTAGTCCTACCTGGAGGCGGGGCCGGAGGGTCGCCAGGAGCTTCGAGCCGGGCTGCTGGTGTTTGTGCCGCTGCCGCGCTCTGCTGCTGGTAGTACAGCTGGATGGGCAGAGGGATCGCCCTGCGCCTCAGCCCGACCAGGAGAATATGAACCTGGCCGTTGGCCTTGGCCTCCTCTTGCCGCCGCATTGTGTGGCTTGGAAACACGGTGCTGTGGTGGAAGGGGAGACGCAGGGTCGTCACAAAAAGGGAAACGTTTGCTGGCCTACGTCCGGAGCATCATTGCTATCCGAACTAAAACTCAAAGCAGTTAATAGTCATGAAAGCGGCAGAAATCAGGAAACAGGACTGACCGCAGGCATTTAAGGAAGCCTGTGGAGTTCAAGATGTTGCTTCGTCCCATTTTACTACACGTGGCCAGGTACTCGGAGTACATTTCTGATCGAGATACAGAGCCCTCTGCGTTCGTCTCAAAGTGAGCGTTTAACCTGTTGGAGAGAAACAAGGTTAACAAGCAGAAAAGACGTGTGCTACAATATCAGAATATACATCTACGGGACTTAAACTCACCATTGCAGTGTAAATTTTTCCCCGTCAAGTTCCACAATACCAGCTGGGGGTTGGGTGGATTGAACCGGTACCCTCGTTACTGGGAAGAATAGGAAAAAAAAACGGTTTATGCTTCTGTAGTCGTTTTAGTGCTCAAATCAAGATTGAATGCTGAATAGTTTGCAGTGATCCCAAAGGTGTCCACTAGGTGTCAGTAACTGAATAACAACTCTGTGGAAAGCTGACTGCACACATGGATACTTCCAATGCTCCCACCAAGGGACACCTGTTCATACACTACTCTGCAGTGATTCCTTTGTCTCTACCCGCCACAATAAAAGCAGGGAAATTCTTAAGAGTAGAAAGGTACAACACTACATACATGTTAATGTCTTCTGCTTTAATTTCATAGCAAATGGTTGAAATGTGGAACTCTGCTCAACTCTGGCCATATTTATTAATAACCATCAAAGGATTTAGAGATTACAGAATAAAACTTTTTTTTCCAACACAAACAAATCTGAACTTATCAGACTAAGGAAGAGGCAGCAGCAGGTAATTGCAACGGACCGGGGACCAAAGAACTTGCAGTGATGGACGCAGCACAGTACTGCACTGGCTCTGCAGCCACAGGTGACTTCGTGGCAGTGGTTGTGTATGTTAAGAGTCAAATGCAGACCGCGTTTGGCCATTCGTTCGGTTTTTGTTGACATTGATTTAAATTGCTTATATTATTTACATGGCTTTCTTCCTTTTGCTTTAGTCGGAAATGCTCCGACCATCCTGGAGCCTTGTTTTAGTCAGAACAAAGTTACGTATATTATTTGAAATAAATCAAATGATCCACTCCTCAAACACAAAGTGGCCAATGACAGCAAAGCATCATTACCCCGAGAGGTTGGAACCCACCATAATCTATGTACATCAGTACATCATTGACTAGCAGTAGCGCGTCTATGCTACGCTAGCTTGTGAAGGCCCACTGACCTTGACACAGACATTACACTTTTGCCGTTTACTCATCCTCACCGACTTTAAACGAACCGTATTCTTCCTAATATGATCATATTCCGTCAGGAACACCAGAGGATGTAATAGTTCACTTTTACACTGAGATCTGTAGCTTCAACCATATTTTTTTTGTACTGCAGAATCCCTTTGACATCCTGGATGTATCCTTTCATCTCATATTAGACCCTCCAGAGATCCTCTGCTTCTCCCTGGAACCAGCTCTCTTCCTTCAGGGCGTGGAGTGAGTGGCAGTGCGGGCTAGGATGTAGCTCTGATAGCAGGATGGATTTGTTAATTCCCTGCAGTGTATTCCCTCCCGCTGAGTGAGAGGTGTCCGTGTGGGGGACAGACACTCACCAGGCGCCGCTGCTCCCTGCACGGCTGCAGGCACCTGCTCTACCAGCTGTGGTCGAACCTCTGCTGCCTGGTCAGCGCTGGCCTGATGCTCGATTAGTCGCACCGCCGTCAGGGCGTCGGGTCCAAACGTATGGAGGTCAACCGACACCAGCCGCACCAAGAGATCTGACGGGGCAAAGAGGAGGAGCCTGGTCACATATCTGCCATTTAGCAGAACAAAGACACAAACTCCTGCGGAGGGGTTTAAAAACTAAAATAATACACGGATCGGTAGACGAGTCGTACCTATGCTGCGGTCGACGGACGCCATCTTGCTGCAGGGGATGTCTCCGAGCTGGGCCAGCAGGTAGAGCACCTCCAAGGAGGCCATGAGGAGCATGAGGTCGGGCAGCGTGAGGAGCATTATCACCTCCCTGTACGAGTCCTGGTCCACGTACTCGCAGATGAGCACGCCGTTGTCCTCCGCCTTGCTGAGGTTGCCCAGGATTTCCATGGCTAGAAGCGAGACACACACGTTAAGGTTTAGGAGCCTCACGCGGCACACCGGCAGCAGGAAGTCACCGCAGTGGCCCGTTTTATGACTCACCCCTCATTTTGAGAAACCTGTCCCTGGACATCAAACATTTGGTGATGGTGTGAAAGATCAGATGAGTCGTCCGAAAGTCAACGGGATCCAGCTGAAGCTGCGGTGGGATAAGACGAGATTTATTCAACCAACCGCAACATCGGCAGGATGTATCAGAACCTCCCGTTCAAACACCCGACCTGAATAATGTTTCCTTGGTGTTTTTTAGAGGGACTAGGAGCGCTTCATATAATGTACCAGACATCGGCTGAACGCTCATTTTCAGTGGTAGTCCCCGGGCGGAGGTAGACCCCCGCTGAGCCACACAAAAGAAAGTCCTGTTGCAGCGAGTTGGCCACACGCCAAACCACAGTAATTCTGTTGATGTGTTACTAATTTTTGTTGTTGGTCACGACAAATAACCAACCAAAACGTAGTGGTTATGTTACAACGGAAGGAATTGCAGTAGGATATCTGATGAATGTGCTAACTGGCTAAACCCAACCATCCAATTAATGGCATCAAAGGCTTATCCGATGGTATCAGGGACCCTATGCATGTAGACTCTAAAAATAGACTCGGGCTCATCGACATGCAGCGTACAACAATAAATGTGAGCGTGACATTCAAGTGAGCCCATGTGATGCCTTTCCCATTCGGGTGGCTAATAACATTTTAAACGTACGTTTGAGATTTTAGACTGCATTGGACTAGAACGTTTGAAACCTGTCCTAAAAAAACACATTGCTGGGTTTATGACAACACAAGCAGGCAGACACAGAATAAATCTCAGGAAACAAAGTGCAGCAATTGTGTGTCTAAACTCAGTGAATGAACATAGAGGCAGTGATCGAGGTAACAGAGTACTCAAAATACTTTCTGGGCGCACGTTAATTTGCGATCCAAATAATCATTTATTCATCTTCCGTTTTCAAATGAAGATATTCCAAGAGAACCGCACAGCGGTTTGGCAACACAAAGCTGGTTTCATCTGTAGAAACCTTTGGTAGTTGCCACCTATTGACGGCGAAAACAACGTTATCCAACACTGGCGAGCAGACATGTTTGTTTGTGTCATCTGATCTGCACAAGCAGGCAAAGAGCTCATTAACAGGCCGTTAAATATATATCGTCTAAAAAGACTGTTACGATACCGCCTGATTCACACCTCTGACAGCGGTAGTTGCTGTGAATGTGCTACGATTGGACAAGTACTGGAGGAATAATGGAATACACAGTTTACTTTTCCTTTAAATGAATGAAATCGTGCAAACTAAACCGCTCCAACTCAGAAATGGTGACTAAAGACTGGCGTGTTTACGGTGCCACAGTAACCTACCTACCTGGGAACAAATCTCCCTCAGACGCCTTTACTTTTTTTAATTGCACTCCTGAACTAACCCCAAACGAAGCAGTCAACAGCGGACCAACCTCAGCAGCCACGTTGCCCAACGTGTCGAGTCCAAGCTGTCGGAGTGAGATGAGGTTACAGTGCGCACAGAGCAAAAGGAAGCGCAGGCACGTTCGGTTGGCCGCCAGCAGCTTGACGTTGGCCTCCTCGAAGGAGAGGTTCCGCAGGATAACGGCAATCTGCAGCACCCGCTGGGCCTCCATGTCGCCGATGCCCTGGTTCCGCGGCGGGTGGAAGAGGCTTTGCCAGCGCTCCTCGCTCGACGTACCATCTGCGAACAGAACTGGGTTTTTCATCAGTCGGCTCCGTTCGGCGACGGGTGCTTCAGCTTCAACTAGTGATCGTTGCTTTTACGAAATAGTTTGGAAAAGGAATACGAACACCAAATTCAGCAGGCTTAATGAATAAATAAATTAACACTTCTCAATCATGTATTACGCAGCAAAGACTGGAAAGGAAGTCGCCGCACAGAAGGCAGAGCACACGTGTGCGTGTCACAGCATTGAGGTGTCAGTAAACACACAGTGGGAGCACGCGAGAGCAGAGGGGTCTCTGTGATGGCTTCCTGCGGCTCTTAGCACCATGCTGGTTTACCTTTTGCTGGGCTGTTCTTGTCCCAAATCAGCTCGCGGACTTCGACGTCCTCCACCACCTCCTTCCAGAACTACAAAAGAATATTCGTATTGTTACAGACATTAATAATTAAAGAAAAAAAACTAACAAAAAATGTCAAGCCATGCCAAAGTTGAGCCCTAGTAAATGCATTGTAACGTAAATGAATGTATTAGTCTCCCGTTAAAAATAATCACACAAGTCTCTTCTGTGCAGCAAGAGACATCCTCCTTATTCCAAATACTCCAACAGACTTTTAGGAAGTGTTTTATTTAACCATGATGGCTTGCAAAACCAAGATCATGATAACGCAGATTACTTTCGCCCACTACTTGCTTGAATGTGTTTGACCAAATCACAACACAATAAAACCTGCGCACGTTAGCAGTTAGCTCCCGCATTTGGCCGACTGTGCAGCCCAGCGGCTGCTAACAGCTATCGTTAGCAAGTTATAATGCGGCCAAACAGGAAAGTATTCCATGGTCTCCGGGGCGACGATCCCTGCCACATCGGGCTTTATGAAACGGTTTCCCACATCTTCACACTTGCTCCCGAACACCTCATTGATTCAATCCAACACCAGCACCACTGTGATGCAAGTCATTATTTACGGATTTTAAACCCATTTCTACCCACAATAATAATGTCATGGTGGTCTCTCCCCAGACGCAGGTCACAGTGTAACTGAAAAGGAGACTAGCCGACTGCGGATAAAGGAAGTACTACTTTTCATGCATGTCTCTTAAACAGAGTGTGATCAAAGCGAATCGACCTCTATTCTGAATCCAGCAAAGAACTGCTCTTTGAAGGTCCTCTGTTGGGGGAAAAACCCCACGACTATCTGACAATCGTCACGCTGCCAAAAGTGAAAGAGATGCTTTGTGGCTTTCTTAGTGAAAGCTGTATTTGATATCTATTTATAGAGACCAAACCAAGAGGCACATTGATTTTCATTGAAGATGCCACACAAAGGTCACACAAACAAAAGACACTCATTCTACTTTACCCGGACAAAGTCCCGAGAGCTTTTCTCTTTCCAGTCCGTCCCGAACACCCCGGAGAAGCTGCCCAGCGCTACGGAAGGCAGAGAGGGAGGGTTAGAGAGGAAACAAGTCGACCGCTTCCCTTTGCTTCTTCAATTCCAGACAGAGGACCTTTGACCCCCCCCAAAATGAAAACTAGGTTTCTCTCAATAACGTTCCTTCAATCGAGCTACAGATCAACAGATAAACCGCCACACCAGTTCAATTTTGAGGCTCGGCACCGCGGTGCAGAAGCGCTCGGTTCGGCGGTCTGCACTAGAGAGCACAACGCGGGGGAACGTACAGTCGTCGAAGACGCCGGCGTGGGCCAGCAGCAGCGTGACCAGCTTGGGATCCTTGTCCAGCTGCATGGCGTGCTTGCTCTCGTTGGACAGCAGAGTGCAAACGTTGACGGCGAAGTCCACTTCGTTGGGTAGACCCGAGAGGAGGGACAGCACCAGTTTGTTGTAGTCGCACGGCGGAACGAAGTCCGAAGACAGTCCATAGCTTTGGCGGAGATAGTCTGGAGGAGGGAGAGGAAAACGCATCTTGCCATTATTTCACAAGTTCCATAAAATAAATCGGGAGTTCAGAGGTCAGCGATGTGGAAGAAATGCATTTAACCTCAGAAATGGACACGTAACCACGTAAAAATGTGCTGGCCACGTTTCAGCAGCACAATAGACGGTTGAAACATTTGAAGAATTTACAATAATAAACAAATCATGCTATAAAAAATGTAGGTTTTCCAACATGCAGCTCATGAACTCAAGTTTTCTCACACAGCCAACCGAATTTAAACTGCCTTCAATAAATGTCTGAAAACAAGGAGAACAGATTAAAAGCAAAGGGAAAAAAGTTGTTATAGGTTAGACTTAGTTCCCCCAAAATTATACCAATCTACAATTGGCGTGCCACACATGGTCAGTTTCAAGGCCATTCGGCCTTTTTATTCCTCTAAAGGCGGATCTCCTAAAAAAAACATTAAAAAACATGCGTGCATCCCCTTTAAAAACATGCGTCTCTTCTAAAAACACCTTCCTCTTGTCAACACGCGTGTGGAACCAAACCGTATGACGCCACATGTGCAGTTTGCCCCGTCACAAGTTTTGGGCTGCACGGCAGACGTCCACGAAGTATCCTCCATGACACAGATAGGGGGGGCAGACCATAGCAGAAACTATGAATGGGCTTTTAGGAAACTGCCCAAACAGCTGAAAGCCAAATGGCTTTATGGTGTTAATGATGCTGCTCACTGTGGAGCCCTTTGTGGTGCTGGTGGCATCATGTGAACAGAGCAGAGGGGCTGAGGTGTAATAGCCGCTGGCTGTGTGCTGGTGCGTCTGCAGACAGTCTGAGGTTTTTTTTTTTAAACTTTTTGCTTTAACCTTTAACCTTTGAGCGGACTAAATGGAGAGGAGTCGTTGGCTGAAGCTGCCTTTGGTCCTAAATGAGTTTAATGAGCAGAGACTTGTTGGAGTGCAGATCTGGAATCTTCTCCAACTTGTAACTGCGTTTGACTCGGACCCCCCTCCATGATGGGCTTTCATAAGTAAAGACACTTCTTATCCTAAAGATCCGGGAAGGAAATCCTACAGCCGTAAACGACAGAGGATCCCGTCTGTGGGAGCACCATCGTTTCAGTCAACAAAGCGACGTTTCTCTCCCGTCCTGCAGGTTTTTAGCCATCGATCATTTGTGTGCATAGGATGTCATTTCTCCCCCAGTAACGGTGGATATTTCAATTTGGTGCAGGATCTTTAGCAGACTGCTGCCTCTGGGAACCGACTGTAGAGCAGACAGGAGTCCCGCAGAGTGAATTTGATTTCCACGCCGAAGAAAAGGGGGGCGGGGGGCAAATGGGATTCAGCGGAGTTGCTATTAGAGCGCCGGCGGCGCGACTGAAAAGAAGTCTTGCTACCAGCGAGCCAGAGCTAAAGGGGTTAATCGCTGGGCCGAGACGTCTTTATGAGCGCAGCGGGTTAAACGTCGCCGCGAGGCAACGGCCCCAAAACGAGGACGAGACAGCGGGGCAGCTCGGCGCTCAGCGGGAGGGATCGGCAGACCACGCGGCCCCACTACATCAGACTTCCATTCACAGTCAGACCCGGGGGTCAGTCACTCTCTGCTGATGTATCAACGTCTGGAGAGGAGTGACCAGTAAATGCATGCAGGAGGGGGGGTGAACAAGATCATTCTGAAACTGCTCTGCTTTTGGTCCCCAGCAACTCCTGAGGAAACAAGGTCTATTTAAGAGTTGACTAAAATATAATAGTGTTGTCAGAGATCCATGCATATTGTTCAAAACACGGATTAGAGCAGGTTTACATTTCTTAGTCCTACTCAGTACTAAAGAAATGTTTTCTGCCATGTTGTGGACCCGCTCTGCTCGGCAGGCAGACGGCTGGCGCGTTAGAGACAACCGTCTGCAACCAAAGAAGCCTCAAGGCTGTGACGGGACGCCAGCAAGGGTTTCCCTGCTTCCCCCTTCATCAACGAAACGCCGGTGGGGAGCTCAACCCCCTCAGAGCCGCTCTGAAATATGAGGCGGTCACTCGGAGGCTGTAAAAAGGTTACAGACGGTGTGGTGGCTTCTTCAGAGAAAAAGAAAATGACACTAGTGATGCATTTCACAGCCTTGCAGGGCGAGAGCTGAAGTGAGTAGCGGTGGAACAGGAGGGGTTCATTCTTTCGGGATGCTCAATAGGAAGTTCTGAATAACAGCAGCATGTGAAACAAGTAGCCGAGAAGAGTTAAAAAAGGAACAGAGCAAAGAGGTAAAGATAAATAATCTGTACCAGTAGAGAGAAAGGGAGAAGAAACCTTGGATGACATGGATATTTGTACGAGTTGCAATTTCATCAACACGTTCAATTAATTGTTGAAGAAACGTTTTGGGGAAGGGCTGCAACAACCAGTCGATGACATATTTTGAATTTTGGTTCCAAAATTAAAAATGGCAACAAATTTCTGCTTTTATTTATTTAGTTGCTAAGCTGTCTATGCCGCTTCCAGAAGAAAATCCCAAAAGACATTTGTAACATGACTGAGGCGGAGAGACTCAATCTGGTCTGGCGCAGAATGTCAGCTGATCACAATTACAACAAAATGATTAACTCACACTAAGTAACGCTGCACTTTCCCTTCATCCCGTCTCACGCAGGCTCTTCCTTCTCCTGCCCCTCGTCGTCTAAAATGGGTTATTTCTGTTCAAGCCGCGTCAAACTAAATAGAACCCTTTTCTCTGCACTTCAATCGATATTTAGGTCTGTTATTTGTCTCCTTACTGTCAATTTGAAATAGCATTTTGTCGATTTGAATGAATTGATGGAAATCAAATCAGTTTTTTTTATCCTGTTGTGTAAGAAACAAACATATTACTTGCTTATAAAAACAATTGTGAGTCCCAATCCTAATTAGGGGAAACCCACTCCTACACAGTCAATATGAAGTCGGTTAGCTCAGCTCCCTCCAAAATACGTATCCAATAAACAAGCTCTGCTGAATCTCACTGATTGACCCTAACCCAGTTCAACAGATTGAAAACCAAAAGGAGTAAAATGACAGTTCAATATTCCATCAGAGCAACAAAAAGCAGCGGGCTGGACAGCAGACGTCGTCAGCAACACACCGCTGGATGTTCTCTGCATCTTAGAACGGAGACATGAACGCTATGCCGCCTTCCTCTCCCTATTCTTGGGAAATCAACTCGAACCTCAACTAACATCCTCCAAACAATTGGCTATTGTTGGTGTGCGTTTCGGCACCGCGACTCGTCCGTCTCCCTCATGAAGCTCCCACGCGGCTGCTTTGCCCGTGACCACATGGTGGGAAAGCCGAGCGATGGAGTTGGCACAGACAAGGAGGGGGCAGGAAAGCAGAAAGGCTGCAAGCGCAGAGCCGTACGGCCGCGAGCAGAGCCTGTGCCCACCTGATACGACGTGCTGCTGGTAGTTGTAGGAGCTGGGTATCGCGCCGATCGGCAGAGAGGCTTTGGGATTCCCCGGCTGCGCCTCCTCGTCGTCCTCGCCGAAGTGGTGGACTTTCTCATACTTCTCCAGGTATCTGCGGAGGAAAGGAAACACACATAAGATGAGCCCGGATCCCTTTTGGACTTTCCCCCCCCCCCAGTTTATTATGCTGAAACTGTTCCTTTGAGGTCAATGCGGATTTCTTTTCTCTGTGGTGCAGAGTCCTAAGGAGCCGCTGGCAGTTGGTGTTTTTATAATTCTACAGCTTCTACACCAACTCGACCAGCTCCAAACAATCGGCCATGGGACCAAATGGTCGTTTGACGACCTTGTATAGACACTTCAACGGCAATTCATTGCTAGAGAACAGCCGCGTTTGTGTTTACTTCCCGTCAAACACTCGTGGGCAGCGAGACACAAACTTATCATTGTCTTGTCGTGGGTGTGGAATCTCTTCAGCGCAAGTTTATTTTGAGATATGTCTGAGCGGCAGATGGTCCAGTAACTAGGTAATGCGCTTTCAGAGAAAAGGAATATAAAATAGCAATATTTTTGTTTTAACCATACAATTGAATCTCTATTTGCCGCGACAGAATTTGTGTACGCGGCCCATCATGGTTCGTAGGTAGAAAGAAATTGTCAGGTCAGACTTCTTATCAAATTACTACTAAGAATCTTGAATAGAAGACGATAACTGAGATGTACTGCACACATCAGGGTGCTGGCGCCATGTTTCCTCACATATTAAAGAAATGGTTTTGAATTTAGATTCGAATTGTGTTCTGCTCCAAAGCTTTGAAAGGACAACAGTTGTCTGGAGAACAAACTGGTTTCCCTGAATTTTAAAAGCCATACGATGGGAACCTGTTTGCATCCACAGAGCGGGACAGAAGCCATGTAGTGTAGACCATTACAACATAACCCCCCCCCCCCCCCGCCAGTGCTGAGAGGGGACACGGAACCCTCAAACGAGCACGGCGGACGAGTCTAAGAGCGAATCCCCTCAGTCACAGAGGCTGATGTAAAAAGGACCATCGGTGCCCCGAAAGTCAAAAAGCACTCATGATTCAACAAGAAGCACAACAACCCCCCGTGTGAATGGAGGTTGGGAGCACAGCACGGCTCAGTGGGAGTGTGGCGGTGCGCTCATTCATGGGCTGAGATACAAAGAGAGAGACCTGTAGAGTTCCCAGTGGCTGTCGTGCAGTCCGCCTGCAGAGTGAACCTTTAAAATGAGATTAAACGCACACAAAAAGAGACTGAGCTCAAAAGCCTCATTGTTAGCATGCAGTTGGACAGCGGCCACGGTGAGCTTTCACCTCGCTTCTCTGGTTTCGGGAGCGTTTTCTGAGCTCGTCAAAATCACTTCCAGCGAGCCGGTGCTTTCAAGGGCTCAAAAGGTGTTACGTGAAGCATGCTCCGCACAGACGGTGACGCAAAAATGAGAGGCATGAGAGGAGCAGCTCTTTGCACCAGGGAGCGTTTGGGCTGCGAGCATGAGCGAGGAAGACGAGCCACCGAGCGCGCACTTCAAATCCTCAGATGCCACATCCGTCGGCGGTTTGCAGCTGTGGTCCGTCCAGTCGATTCTCGCCACTTTGGATGCAGTCATATAAAAACGGGAGGGCTGGGTCATTTGAATAACGGCACTGCTCAGCCTGGAGCTGAAACAGGTCCAGCATCTCTAAGCGATGGAGCGCAGAAGTCCTCCTGAGCGGCCTGCCTGATGGGAGCGTGCACTGAAAGGACTCTCCTCGAGCTTTGCCAAACACACTGCTAACAAGGGGCGGGGGGGGCGGGACACACACACACACACACACACACACACAAAACCACAGGCGCGCAGCAAAGTGCCACGGCAGCGTGCTGAACTCCGCCTGTGTGTCCGTGAATCGCAGAGCGACGATGTCCCGCTTTGTCATCGTGGCCGAGGTAACCCCCCCCCCAGCCCACCGGCTCCCGGGTGACGCGCCGGACTATAAATACACTCAGCCTTCATTCGTTGGGCGAGACAGAGAAGGGGGAGGAGCAACCCCCCCCCCAGCAGCGTCATCAACCGCTTTCTGGGCACAAGCAAGAAGAAGAAAAACGGCTGCGGGTAAAGACAGGTGGGGGCATGGAAGGGGGGATTGCAGCTGCTTATGGCTGCACTTCCCCTTTTCACACACACACACACACACACACACACACACACACCACCAACCATCGTCGTTAATACTGAGACACGGTTCCCCTCCAAAATAATATGACACGTGCAAACAGGCCGTTCACCACAGCAGGGCCAGAGAAGAGAGGAGGGCCGAACAGACGTGCCTGTGCACGCAGACACCGCTGCCTGTTATTTACTGTCATCTACATCCTGCCGGGGCAGTTTTACTCCAGGCTTCCATTGCGCTCAGCTGCCCAAATGCCCCTCGCTGTGTGGCGTCCATTGCCCCCTGCTGGCCATGGACACAGGCAATGCAAACACACACACACACACACCTGCCATTTTCTGGACAGAAACGTGAGCTGTGATTGGTTAATAATCACGATGCCGCTTGCCAAGGGCGGAGCCAGTGGAGGAAAACCCTGTACGGGTTGGATCACTTCCAAAAGAGACCGTTTGATGCTTGAAAGCAGAGATGAAGTCCCAACTGAGAGCGGTGTGAAGAAAGTGCACAGCGCAAGACATGGCAGCGACTGCAATACTACATGTGCTCTGATAGTCCTCCAGTGAGTCCCGCGAGTGCACAGAGCGCGCGCTTCCCCCACGTGTCCAATGCATGATAATGGCGAGGTCGCACAAAAACGACAGTACACCTAAGCCCTTTTAACAAGCGCTGGCGCTCCCATTGCAGTTATCAGCCATGTCTATCTGGATGCCACGGTGGCTCAGCGGTTAGCAGCACATCCTGGGTTCAAACTAGGCCGTTTAGTTTTTCACAGAGGAAATCAGTTCCTCCAGAACACTGCAAACACACGTTATGGAAAAGAGGTTTTCCTTTGAGTAAGCTCATGCTGTTCAGAGTGAATGTATACCAGCTCCTTGGAAATAGGTTGTGATGTATACTCGAACCGTAACTATCCATTTTATATTAGAGGATTCTGCGTTAAAGCTACAGAGTAGTTGGGGCATCGAATCCTCGTTCCTCACAATCAGGATTCCTTTGACAGTGGGATCCAACAACATGTCTATTGGGTCCATTTCACTATTTCCCTTAATGTTATTGTTTGGTTGTCATGCACCGAATTAAAAAGAATATATAGCCGCTGCTGCTGTTATCTAGAGTCACTACAGTCCAGTAAACTGAATTGGATGGTAACAGTTAATGGGAAGCCAGCTCTAGCTTTTAGTACCAATTCATCCGTTTGCACCAATGTCGGGGACAAAGTGTAAAAGACTTAATATAAAAGAGTCTGTTTGGTGTTTCGGGTCCTGTTGATAAGGTGGCAGCAGACTTTATTCAGGCCCTTGTTGCCGTGCAGCTAACGCTAGCTAGCCGGTGGCCTTCTATGCTGAAACTGATTATTATGCCACACCTCAGTGGGAAGCATCCAGTGCAGACAGTCTACAGCGGTGCGTTTTGTTATGATTGCAGCCATGTAAATGTGTCCGCAATTAAGAGTGACATTTTAAAAAGTACACACATATACAAGCACATACACTCGCATATATATTGCATGCCACTCCTTACGGTCTCCTCTCGAGATCCCAGACTCTTCTCCTATTAAGCTAAATGAATCACCATGGTGATCTTTGGTAATATCTCTTCCGCTTGCAGCCCCGAAATGAACAAACAGTTGAGAAGAACATAACCATACAATTTAAAAATCGCCGGGCTCAACAGCACGGCGGTGCTTTGGGCTCTCCACAATGCAGAGGAGGAATAATATCAACTATGAAGTCATGTGTGTGTGTGTATAATTATAAATATATATATTTATATAGATATTATACAAGTACTCAGTACTCTGGTTTAATATGGCTGCAGAATATCTACTCTAATAGATACGATGTTTGAAAGCAATTCCTATCAAGGACCATTATTTATCCCTTGAATTCTCAATCGTAACAGTCTGCTGTTTAACCAGCAAACCGACCTGCTGGGCCGGTCCGATTACAGACGGGACGAGACACGGTCCCAAGAGCCATCGGATGCGATCTGTGACGGGCCCTCTGCTCTTGCGCTGGTCCCCGTGGTCCCCGTCTTCACCCACAACCATCCGTCAGAGGAGCGCCTCTGAAGTCTGAGCGGCAGCTGGGAATACGGACACGGCTAACGCAAGCCAGATCCAAGGCCGCTTCGTCCAGATGTTTCAGCGGGAGAGTCTACCGGCACACACAGGCAGCAGGGAGGGACCTGCAGAAACAATGGTGCCCGAAATAATCTCAAGAGCCCGGAGTGGGATGAACACGGGCCGGGCAGAAAGAGGTAGGGGAGCGTGTCTGCTGCATGTTTACATGTTTGTTTGTTTTTTCTTCAGGGATACATTACGTGTCGTCCTTGAACAAATGAGGTGCCACAGCAGGTTATCTGACAGCAGCGGGACTTTTGACATCGCACCGCCGCAGTTTTGCACAATCAAATGTGCTACGAATAGATTGAGTGGGCTCGGAATTATTTTGAATGCCTGTTGATACATCTGGGGCGATTTGCCCGATCGACACTTTGTGTCTCCAACTGTCCCCAAAAGGAAGTGTTTCACTTTGCGTTTGAATTTCTGCTTCTCTCCAGCCTAAAGGTTTAACCAAAGACTTTGTCGACCTGAAGAACTAGAAGGCGTTGTGTGATGTGAGAACATGGTCACATCTTTTTCCTTCTTTTTTTAAGTTGAAAATAGTATTCATTATAATCCATTTGCAGCCAGCTGGTAAAAAGAAGGGAAACCTACATCATGCTCAACTGGCCACTGAAATACAGTCGAATTGCAGAGGTCGTGAGAATTTCGGGACCTAAAAGTAGCCGCCAGCTGGAAGCGGCAGAGAAACACTCTGGCTTCCAGCGGGGCAAAAAGTGAAAGACTCAAAACTCGCCTGAAATGAGTAAACCTGCGATTCTGAGAGCAGCTGCTGCTGCTGCTCGGTACCGCAAACAGAGGGCGACAGACAAAAGTGTGGTGTGATTATTTTGTTGTATCGATAGCAGCATGTTCTACCCTGGGGAGTGCGCAGCGAGAAGCCTCACTTATTACAGCGTGGGGTTACAGCGGCGAAACACCATTTGTACTGTGCAACTGCGCCCCAACACGATGAATAAAAACGCCTTCACCACATCACTGCTGCAGGCACCCATCAAACAGACAGATACACTGTTTACTCTCCCAAACGCGTGCAGATCCTGTCGAAACAATGCGACAAACTTGGTGCGTCTCTGGGTGTCAGTGACCGGTTTCTTTCCAATGAGGGTGCAAACAAAGGTTGAGCGGGAGTGTCCGTCACCCGATTCGGCTATCTGTTCAGAGAAAGACGTCCAAGAGGCTGCAGCTGCAACCGGAGGCCCTCGTTCCCAAAACAACTCCCATTCAGCTCTCAGAGGAGCGGAGCGCGCTGGAGCTGGACGGAGCTCGAGTGAAAAGATCGGGACTGTGTCTGCTGCACGTGGGCCGAGCGCTCGGTGGCCAGAATCGCATGGAGCGACTGACGGAAGAGGGAGAAGCGTGGAGATGTGAATCAGTACTGATTTGGAGAATAATCCAAATGAGCGTAACTGCAGGAAAATAGGAAGGATCAGTCTGTGTAGAACATCAATTTAAGTCAAATTATGGAAATGTGAAAAGCTTCTCATGACTCAAAGGACCGCGTGGGGGGGAAGTTCGGTGCCTTAACATCACACAGGCTATTGAATATTGGATGTTGAAATACTCTTATTTAAATAGTTTTTTATTTGATGATTCCTCCATTCCACTTATCATTCTACGTTAAAGCATGTTTATGGCGACATATCACCGGGTGACATTGAGATAGTAGAGTAGATGGGAGCTGGCACAGAACGCATGCGCTGCTTAGGAGTCTGGTCTGAGTGGGAAGTGGAGACCAGAGGAAACCACGATCATCCCATTCATTCAAACGGGGAGACTTGATCCACAGACACAACATCCGGTACCAGAAAAGTACCTTCTTCAACAAGGGAGTATCCTTTGGTCCTTCTTGAAAACTCATTTTAATCCTTCGGGTGAAGAAAAACGTCAAGAATTGTTACCGTCGTTGGCAACTATAAAATGGACATTTCTAGAATTACCATCCCATGAAATGTTACGGGATGCTTCTAATCACATACAAAAGAAAACACATCTAGAACTATTTCAGTTGGCAGATGGTCATAAAAGCATACGCTCCGATTCCATACGACCATCATTCAACAGGGTGAATTGAGATTGAAAAGAAAAAAATAATAAACGGCAACACAATGAATCAACTCCACTAAGCGCATATCGACTTTGCAACTGTTTATGACCTCTGACCCCCCACAGGGTGATCACATTATTAGCGCGCTTAAGCATAGAAACACTGGAGGAGAGGCGAACGGTTTCCTTTCTGCACTCGGTCAGCACAAAGCAGCGTGGGTGAGCGGGTCGAGCGCCATCTATTCATCAGCCTTAACCGAGGAAAGATCAGTCTGCCTCTGACATCCGCTGAGCCGCCTCAGATAAACGCAGGAGAAGCTCCGCTGGCCGTCTGCTGATTATCAGAATGTCGGCAATCACACTTCCTTTTGCTCCTTACTATTAGAACATAACTGCGGGAACTTGGCTGTTCTGAGTAATGCAAACGTCAGCTGCAAAAAGGCATTTATAGACTTTTAGATAAACGACACATTAGTTGGACAAACTGTACAACTCTCATGTATAATAGAGGGTAAAGAAAGCCGTTGAATATTGGCAACTTTTGACACTCAAAACCAACCCTGTAAGACAGAAATCTATATCCAATTATTAGTGTTTAGTGATCATCCTGCGTTACAGAAATCTAAAATACTTTAGGACTACAGATACTTCCGCTCAGAGAGCCGACCTAAACAACCACCTAGTCAGCCATCCGGACATCATAATCTTTGGCTTTAGATAAAACGCTTTGGTAAGTATTTCCGTCAATTCCCCTGAATATGTGGCAGGTAAATAGTGTTTTGTGGCCGTTATGGCACCGAGAAAGACATCGCCAACCTCAGCAGCAGTGCACACCCTGCACGTGCCCAAACTGCTCAGCCCTCTGCCGCCAAAACCAATTTTAAAGGAACAATAAGTCTCAGATGCGTATGGTTGGCAATCAAATGAGGTGCGACAACAACAGCCTGCATCAACGTAAAAGAAAAGAAAAGAAAAAAACTCCCAACTATTGGCAATTTTTCAATAATCAACCGGCGTTGTAGTTTCCTGTAGCCGGTCCATGGGAGCCTGCTGCAGGAGCGTAATCCTCTGCGGGCAGGTGCAAGTGACGGGAACAATCATTGCATGAGACAGAGGGGAAGAGAAGACAAGGGGGAGCATGAAGAAAGCAGAGACCGCCAAAAGAGAGAGGGAAAAAAAAAAAACACAAACGCCAGCTGTTGAGAGCTGCATTTCCACCCAACCTCCCATCACCGGCAGCTGACCGTGTGGAGGCTGGATGGCACACAAGTTAAAGAGCCCAGAGCCGCTCACACAACAGCGCCAAGAAGCACCTGAGCGCCTCGGGGCTGCAGCATCTTCAGAGGAGAAAAAGCCCCATTAATGTATGGTTTAAGGGCCACCGCGGACAGCTGCTCCTTCAAAACCATGTTCTGTGCGCAACAAATGACAGAAGGAACATTTCACCACGCACCGATTTGTAAGAAAAAGACCAGTCTTCTTTTCTCATGTGGAAGGGTTGCCATCTGTCACGACAGGTACACACACTACTACTACTACTACGGCTTTGATCGTGGAGTCCTAATATTGCGCTGGTGCGGCTTCCTCCCTGCAACTGCACATGTGTAAACACTTCCCACATGCTGGCTGGCGGCAGGCGAGCGGCTCCGCGCTACTCACCGAAGGTAGTACTGTTTTAAAGCAAATGCAGCGTTCGAACAACTCCTCGGAAAGTGGAACTCGTCCCCGAGTTCGACCCATTGGTTTTTGTCAGAGACCTGGACAGGAGGGAGAAAAAAAGAAAAACACACGCACACTCAGTCGGGGAAACAACAACAAAAAAAGAGCGGTTACATTGCGACCATCTGGTCGGCTACAGGTCCCCCCCAATGAGGCCAATCATTAATCAATAACTTCCTCCAACGGCTGAAAACACCTTTAAATAACAGTTACTTTAACATTATCCAGCAGTGACTTACATTTAGCGGAATATTGTTTTATTAGCTCATAACATGCCCATTAAACGAGCATATTTACATTTGTCACACCAACTGACTCCCTTTGGCATAGTGTCGTTACAGTTGAGGCTAGTTAGCATCGTAGCTAACAAGCTAACTTGACTTTTAAATTTGGGGCTTCAAAACCGAACGAGGCTAAACTCCGACAAAGTGTCTCCCTCCGAAACACGGACGCGTCGGCGTGCAGCGAGCCGTCCGCTCCTCCGGGTTGGGCTTTTTTTTGGGGGGGGGGGACCGTTTACCGTGTTCACTGCCCGGGCCTGTGAGGCCTATATTTGCGATCAGCCATGAAGCCGAAGAAAGATGGCTATGGCGAGGAAGCGATACGAAGCTTCCCCCCGGTTGCGAACTAGCGGTTAAAAAAAAAAACCCGGGCGAATGGCCGCGTCCCGGGCGGTGTTTCCCGAGGCCCGGGCTCCGTGCCGATAATCGATGTTAAACGTGCCCGCTAATTTTGAGTCGCTCCGACTGCACTCTGACTGCGAGCGGTCGGGACGCTCAATTCAAACCGCACAACAACACAAGCCACCACATTGCATGGAGATACATGGCAAACTAGCACAAGGCCAACGCCGACCCAACTGCCGCGGATGCCGGCGGGCTTTCTGCCCGGTCCCGGGGCTCCTCGCCGCGGAGTTGCAGAGCCGTCCGCCGAGGAGCCCACGGGCGGCGGAGCGCGGAGAAATCCACTTTTAGTTCCCACTCACCTTCGCGAATCCACCTAAAGAGACGACTCTGACATAGAGAGCATTCAGGTCCAGCTCTTTCCCACCCGCCACGGGAATCTTCCTGAACGGCGACCTGAGGGGAAAACACAAGAAATAAAGACATACGCGTTTAAATAACAGCTCGGGTTCGCTCTCCGCGTGATCCAATGACGGTTTAAAGTTGCATTTCTTGGGAATAAAGACGCCCCAATCTCACCCTCTGCTTTGGTGAAATTGCCGCAGCTCGTCCAGGAAAGCCTGTCCTTTCCTTCGCTGATCTAGTAGATTTTTCCCCGTCGAACTTGCCATTGTTTTTGCATGCAAAAACGATTAAACCCCACTTCGGACGCTTCTTAAGACACCAAGGATCCCATAGTCCGCCGGCGCTCAGTCATTCGCGAAGCTGACTGTTTAAAAAGTTAAAGAAATAGCTGATAGCAAGAAGAGCGGCAGCTCGCTAATAAAGACTGATGCACACAGAAAGCCAGCCCGATTCACCCGCGGACTAAGTTCCGACGAACAGTCAGAAACGCGGCCGATCCACCGGCAGAGCGGAGGCGCCGCGGCGGCGTGTGTAGGATGAATGCTTTGGGTCGCGGTCGTGTTCGTTTGGAGTGGTTTGACAGTGTGTTGCGGACGCGGCTCGGAGGCTATCGCACACTGTGGAGCGGCAGAGGGATGCAGTTCTCAGACAAAAAGATGAGAAGGCCGAGGAGCCCGGACTGCCATGCGCGCAGCGCCCTCTGCGGCCAGCGGCGGCAGCGCACCCTCCGGGGCAGGAGCGGGCGCCGGAACAATAGAGACTGTTTTCTTTTTTAGGGACCGTCTGACAACTCGTTGCTCTGTTTGGAAAGCGGGTCAGGAGGTACTTGGGAATGTCCCGTGGGGGGAAGGGATCAGACTAATTAACATAGCTCCCTTCTTATCCAAACCAGGCGTGTAATGGGGGGGCAACCCTACTTTTTATCTGTAAAACATATTTATTTTTTTGCCTACTTAAAGCTTCAGTACATGTCTGGTCTCGACCGCACCAATATCCTGTAGGTTAAAAGATGGTGTCTTTCTAATGGAAACTGAAAAATGAATTCACTAACTCATTTAAATTCATTAAATCACGCAGCAACCTCAGAGTGATGTTGATTGATGGTTTTCATACGAGTATCTAAAGGCTAATTTACCACTGCTCTTATTGCACATATTGGATTTCCAATGTGTGAAAATGATCTCCTGACAGAGGGGGTTAAGTGCATTATGAATGTTGTCCAAAAAAAAGTATTAATGGACTTAAACAATCGGTTATATGTGTCTCATGCCATATTGAAGAGTAATTCAGTGCAACCAGGGTTGGAACTCTAAATTGAAAATGTGACTCTTGCGTTCTTAAATACACGTTAGACGTGACAACTGTTCTTGGCTGTAACTCTTTTTCAACTCCTGTGTACAACGACTGAATAATTTGTAACGATCAGCATTTTTATTTTAAACTTCATTTGGAAGGTGTAGACATGAAGTCCCGATTCTCTTGTGATCTTGTGGATTTGACATATTCAGGTTAATAAAGAGACAAGGTGGATACTTCCACTATACATTGTGATCACTATCTCTCAAAGCATCTATTTAAATAAATATTATTTATGGATACAAATTATTGGTGGTTTACATATGATCACCAACATGTTTTTTTTTTCTTCACTTTTTAGAGCATTGCATTGCAGGAAAGTCTTAAACTGTGATAAACAGCCTCTGTCCCCTTGCTGACCACCTCTAAACAACTTTCATCTCACAGGGTGGTGGGAAATTACTGCTGATCCCTTCGCTGTGTAACTGCCAAGCGGATATCTTGTTGATGGGGTTACATTCAACCATTACACGTACCCCTTTGCTCGATGAAAAACCTGTCACAAAATGGCGGAGACGTACGTTAGCAGACCCCATTTTGAAGAATTGACACTAGACAGCGGAAAAGTGCACGTCCTTGCGTGTGTTTTTCGAAATGCTTCTCGTTTTGATGCAAACAAACCGCCGCGCGCCCGAGCTCAACCCGCGCGCGCGTTGCGGACTCCCGCAGCCGTCAACCGAATTCTGGGCTAACGACTCGGTCTCGCGCTCGCTGGTTAGCTTAGCTAACGTGGCGCATTCACGACGAAGCGGCTCCGAGCGGTTGGTTTTAACACACACGTCCGCGAGCACAGCACGCTCACGCGTTTTATCTACCGCGGCGATCCATCGTCGATATTAATAGCGCGCTATTTGACGAAGTTCTCGGTGCGGCTATCGGAATAGTCCGCACACAAGCGTCAGCTGTGCGCCGCACATTAGCATGTCAGATCCCAGTCCAGCTAATGGTGCTAAGTGTGCTACCTCCAGACGCCCGCAGCGCGCACCCAAACTCCCGGAGTGAACACAATGTTGCAGTTTATCAAACGATGAACACCACTAGATCCGAGCTGTGAGTCGGTGTGGCGGTTGGTGGCTCTTGTTAAAGGCACGCTGGTGTTGTGCTTAGCTAACGGCTCGTTAGCCACCGTGGGTGCTTAGCTAACGGCTCGTTAGCCACCGTGGGTGCTTAGCTAACGGCTCGTTAGCCACCGTGGGTGCTTAGCTAACGGCTCGTTAGCCACCGTGGGTGCAAAACGCGAACGCACATTCGCCTTTTTACTTCCAGTTATTTGATGGCGCTTTTAATAACGATAATAGTTCTTCTTGCTGGGTCGTATAAACGTGTGTGGGCCGCATTGTGATTCTGGTGTGACCTTTTCCACCGTGTGTAATGCCGGATATCCTTGTTTGTGTATTTGCGAGTGGTCCCCGTTTAGGCCGCTTCACAGATATTAATATTAATATTATCACACTTGTTCGTTTATTCACCTCAAGTCAATGCTAATGTAAATGTTATTGGCAGGCGCCTGTTCGTGAGCATTCGCTGTGATGTCGCCACAATGAATGATAATAAGGGGGACTTCAGTTGGTTGAATAGTTATATTTACAGCAACAATGTGAAACACTGGTAATATCGCGCATGCTCTTCATACAGTAAGGCATTTCCTATGGCAGCCATAAGGTGCAGTTCGGGATGATTAAATTATTTTTATTATTTATTTTATAAATTATTTTATTCAGGTTTGCATTCAAAATGTGTGTGTGAATGGCTTGAGTTATCAGATTTCTATACATTTGAGAATTTAATTTAGTAGATATTTAGCGAAAGATCTTCTGCCTTTTTGGGCCCTACATTCTATAACAAAACACATTTAGCTTGTAAATGTTATTTTTTTAGAGTTTGAAAGGAATTTACGGTTGTGTTTAATGTAATATCTGTCGGTGAATGTTGGGATGTACAGCAAAACTTATTTGCTCCACACATCACAACGATGCTACTCGTGAAATTGCTGTGGAAAACATGGAAATGTTCTAAAGTAAAATTCTAAAGCTCTAAAATTCCCAGGTGTTAAATTGATCTCGTAATGCTTGGCAGAGGTTCTTTCGTGTGGAAAAGCTTTCCGTTCCACAGAAGCAGAATTACCTGACATAGATCATTGTAGGAGTAGAGGTACAGGTGTATTGAGCAAATTAAAAGCAAATTATCACCATGTACATATCTAGACATTTTCCGAGGCAATTTTTCAGTGCAGTTATTCTTATAATAGCAAACATGTATTATTACTATAACCGTTATATAACTATATTACAAACTAATAAAGGCACACATTAAGCGGTTGGCTTAAAATCCGCAAACAAAAAGAAGCTTGAACCTCGGCTCCATCCATGACACCACCTGGTTAAACCTCTTTAGAAGAGGGACTAATGCGCGCAGTGACTGAGTGTACTTGAACGCGGCACGGGCAGTTATGCCATCACGCGGCCGCCCTCATCTGCCGTGACAGCCAGGCCCCTGGTGGCATATGGCGCAAATGAGGCCAGTAAGCCCAAACGGCCTCCGAGCGCCTAGACAAAAAGATCCCAGTGGGACGCTAAGTGCGTGTTACGTCCTTACACCTCCCTGCTCGGGCCCCATGGAGTCATTATGTGGGAAATGGCTCCACCTTCCGGCCGTCGTGCCCACGCGTCCTGAGTGGTGTGACGGGTCCACACAGCCGTGTTAGGAACACATTGTACTCTGAGGGATCCGTTGAGAGCTCTTCTTGTTCTTCTTTTTTTCAAACTGGATACAGTCAGAGTTGGAGCGAGAGGCATGCTGGGAGATGAGGGGGAGGAGCGGTGGGGGTAATGCGTTAGTAAAGTCTACTTGATGATGTCATCCAAAGAGTTTATTTATTTTGAGTGCTGGAACTTTTTTTATTCATATTATTTCCCGAAGATTTATCTAGATTCATCCATCCATCTTCAGCCGCTTATCCGGGTCGGGTCGCGGGGGCAACAGCTCCAGCAGGGGACCCCAAACTTCCTTTTCCCGGGCCACGTCTACCAGCTCTGACTGGGGGATCCCAGCCACTCTCCTGAGGAAACCCATTTCAGCCGTTTGTACCCGTGACCTAGTTCTTTCGGTCATGACCCATCCTTCATGACCATAGGTGAGGGTAGGAACGAAGATTGACCGGTAGATCGAGAGCTTTGCCTTCCGGCTGAGCTCTCTTTTCGTCAAAACGGTCTGGATTCAATATTGGCCACTGAATATTCAATCGTTGTTTCCTCCATCCCAAATGGACAAGTTAGGGTAAAATACTCTACATGCCTACATGTTGTGGCTTAGACTGCTTTAAACAGTTAAATATTGACTTAACCTGGCCGGTTTGAAACATTAGGGTCACGGATTGGGATTCGTGGCATGAGTCTTCTCACAGTCCTGCTGAGTCCTAAGTCGTTTAGATTTTCACTGTAATGTTACTGATCCAGTGAACGCATTTTAGTCAGTGTGATGCAGTGGCTCCTGTCTCTGGTAAAAAATACCTCTCCAGGGGACAATGTGGATGCTATTTTGTCCTTATGCCTGGTGAATTAACTGGAGCTCGTCTCAAACATCAGTTTGTCAGTGAAAGCGGGATTACAGGCGCCTACCAGTGCTGTTTGACAGTGGAGAGCCTTAAATCAAACCAACCCTCATGAAAGGTTCTCAGTTACTAAAGAGAAATCCGTTCACTGGCTTTCAATACACAGATGCTTAAATAAATCATTAAAACACAAATATTGATTGCAAAAATAATCAATGAGCCAACTATGAAATATGACTTTCTTGTTTTAAATGTTTGTAAGTGTATTTTATTTGATTCAATTATTAATTCTCTGGTTGCTTGAAAAAATAATTTTCACCAGCTTTTTCATATCATGAACCTGCCTTTTAGCGATTATTGATTGTTTTAGTTGAAAGGGAATTTACACTTGTGATTGTCCTACTAAAGTGTTCTGGGTGTGTTTCTTTCATCACTAGAGGGCAGCTGTGTTAAACGGTTGGGAGCTTGATGAGAATGGATGTTGCACATGGGGAATGGCTCTTACAGGCAACGCTTTGAATGTAATGTACTATATCCTTATTATTTACACGTAGTGACCCAGCCCATACACATTATAAACTCACATGCTTTTCAAAACACGTGACATGCCATGAAATCTGCAAGTTCCCAGGGATTTGGCCCTTTCAATTTAATACACTCAGGTGGTTTTACTCACACCTATAAGGGAACCACGGTTTTCACAATTCAAAAAGTAAAGCACACAATTAATTTAGCTATCGCTAATGTTATCAGCTTTTCCACATACACGAACCCCAAATGATGATACTCCTACTTTTGG